TTTGAGCGAGAGAGTCAGAGAGTTGAGCGATAGAGAAAGAGTGAGATTGAGATGAGATCTGGTCTGAGAGAGTGAAAGGTTGTGCGTGTTTGAGCGAGAGAGACAGTGAGAGATTGAGACGACAGACGAGATCTGGTCTGAGAGAGTGAAAGGTTGTGCGTGTTTGAGCGAGAGAGACAGTGAGAGACTGAGACAACAAACGAGATCTGGTCTGAGAGAGTGAGACTGTGACTCTGTGAGAGGCTGTGCGACTATGCGTGACTGAGTGTTCGTGTTCGAGCGAGAGGCCGAGAGAGACAAAGAGTGAGAGAGACAGAGAGTTGACTTAATTGTGTTAGAGTTAGACTGTTAGTGTTAGGGTTAATTTAATTTTTAAAACTCAAAAAGACATAGTTTTGTAAAATCCAGATCGGATACGGATATCCGATTTTTTAATAATCCCGATCCGGTATCCGATCCGAATATTCGGATTTTGCTAAATTCCGATCCGAATTTTCGGATATCCGATTTTTTCGGAGCAGAGCGGAGCGGAGCGGAGCGGAGCGGAGCCGAGCGGATTAGGATCGGATATCGGATTTTTTTGCACAGCCCTACAAGTCTGTAGTGAATATCAGGTAAATAAAGCATACTTTAATGTTATTATTTTATTAAGGGTGAACGAAAACTTCCCACCCAAGGTTTGGCCTAACGACCAGTTGCCACCCAAAAAGTTTCAAAACCACAGTTTCCCACCCATCCATCCAATTTCTCCGTTAATTTCAACTACAGAAGGAAAGAATGATAATTTCAAAAAACAATTGAAGGATAATTATGTCCTTTTATCCCCCAATATATAAACTTGAAAAACAAAACCCCAATTATTTTCTTCTTTCTCTTTCCTTCTTTCTTTCTTCTCTTTCCTCTTTCAATCGCACCAGGCCGCTTTATGTCTTCCCTTTTCTTTTCTTTTCGTGCTTCCTTTTCTCTCTTCCCTTCCCTTTTTCTTCTCTTCTTATCTTTCCTCACTCTGGCAGTGGTCGCTATTGGCTTAATCTGGCCGCACCTAAGGCCCTTGTATTGGCCAAAGGCGCGGCGCAAGAGACACATGCTGGCTTTATCTATCCAGTCGAGAAGCTCCAATTGCCAGCCAAACTGAGTCAAAATCGAGTTGGCCGAGAGAAGACTTGATTATTTGTTTGCTTTTTTGATATGATTTTTCTTGATTGATGATTGTTATGTATTGCGGTAATTGTGTTGAGAAAGAATTGAAGTTTGGTGGTGTGTTTGGGATGGGTTTTGCTCAGAGGAAAAGGTGACTAAGCGGACACATGTATTTCCAGGCACTATCGAAACTGCGACTTCGCTGGTGGGGGAGATAATCGGGATAATTGAGTTGACATTAAGATTGAGAAGGAGATTGAACATGAAGGCTTGAATAAAGGCCACATATCACCCTACACGCCCCGTTCAGTTGATGATGATGATGATCATGGGGATGATGTGGATCCTTATGGCGGTTTGTTTGCGATGAACGGGAAAGAGTTCTTGAAATTAAAGAAAATCTTGAAGATCCTGACCTGGTTTCTTTATTTATTATTTTTTTTTCATTTCAAGTTTTTGTTTTTATGAATTTTATGAGATGAGTTTGATTCTGTTTTTGATTTTCAATCTGAAAATTCTCCAATTGATCTGCTTCAAAGTTTGGCAGACATGGATATAACATTCAAAGCTTTTGTTGACGCTTGATTTTGGACACCAACGACTCGCACGTGAGAAGCGCTAAGCGGACTTAGGAATCACACGTGAATGGATCCATAAGATTTGAATATGGAGCTGAGATTATATATTTTGCAGAAAAATAAATAAAAGATTGGCAAGAGGGGGTTTTTATAGTGGTTCGGATGCTCAACAAGCGACTCCTATATCCACTGTTATTTTATTGATCTCTGACTATTTCTATGATTTTTCCCATAAGACATACAAAGATGAAGAAATACAGTGTTTACAGAGAGAGAATGAAATGAAGCTCAAATCTCAGCCCAACCCCCTTTTTCGGGAAGAGAAGTGCCCATTTATACACCTAAACACTCAATGTAATGAGTGTTTTGCAAGTTGCCTTGACACATGGAAGACTCTCGTCCATTCATTTCTTGAAATGAGATAGAGTTGGTGTGAATATTTTTGAGGAGATACGGGCTTGGCAGCACATTTATTAGGCTGACATAAGCGTGACTTTTGAGGCATAACAGAAGCCCCCCCCCCCCCTCCCCCCCTTTGATCAGCTCTTCTACTATCCCGCTGACCAGGTGCACTGCCCGAAGCGTCGTGGTCACATCGCGTGCCAAGAGAACGGGTTCGGTGAGCTGACCGTGATGGAGGTCGGTTGCTCGTATTATTTGAAAAAGAGCAAGGACAAGGACTCTTACTACTTGTTCAGGCGACCTACTATTGCCGATGGGATACACAGCTACCCGAGCAACGTGGGGGCCTATGAAACGAAGTTTTTCTTCTTTCATTATGACGGCCATTGCCGCTTCTAGGAACCAAGTAGACTCTTTTTTTTTTTTTTTTTTTTTTGACAAATTCATTGCACTCAAAATATGCTTTTCTAACGACCTGATGAAAGGGTGGAAGGGGATTAGTCCTCCACCCTTAATGATCTCCTCAGAGACCGCGGCCAGACCACTCAACGGGTACCGCGATGAGTGCGCCACGTCGAGGAAAGCATCTACCTCGATGTTGTACTGCTTTATTACCCTCTCAAGCTCATCCCCGGTAAGAACCGAGAAGACCTCGATAGGGATGTTTGGAGCACCCTATGGAGACGAACCGGTTCCCTGTTCGAATCTGGTTGCTGAGGGGTCCATTTTGCTAGTCTGCAAAAGTGACAAGCAGAAAGGTCATTTAGTCGCCGTACGCTATTTCGTACAATGATGTGGGAGGAGACAAACTCCCTAAATTCCAAAGGAAACCCTAACGGCATGATTCGAGCCGCCATTCATGGCTCGAACCTGACCTAAGCATCTCGTCTCCAATAGGCTACCGGAAGACAGACGCCACTCAGCCATGGAAGATAATGAAACAAAAACAGAGAAAAGCTCTTACCTCTCGAAGTATGAGAATAGCTTCCGCTTCGAATACTGGAAAAATGCTGGTTTGAGAGATAGGTTCCAAGCTTGCGAAAATCTTTTACTCTCTAAGAAAAAGGCTCTGGTGACATTGCCTGAGAACGACTCGAGGTTTTTATAGCATATGAATCGGCGTTTCAATCTCTTGGAATCGAAACGGCATTTGGGCGGCAAAGGTTTCTCACCGTTGATCACGACCACGTGTCGCGTATCAGCGGAGAAGAGTGAGCGTCATGACTAGATAAAGTTAAACCTTCATCTCTTCTGTTGAAAAGCTCAAACGACGGCCATCTCTCTTCCTCAGAGCATTAATTGCATCTCAAATCTACATTTAATGCTTTGATAAAAGGCGTCGTTTCAACGTACAACGCATTTAATGTCCTGATAAGGCGTATGGTGTCAGCGCACAATGCATTTAATGCATCTGGCTGGCACTTATCACGCACAGGGCACATCTGTCAGCGTAGGGACTGCTTCATTAAATGCACCCATATCAAAAGGACAACAAATGACGTCTGACGAAATCAGGTAGTTTGTCCCCTGCAAATAATGAACATGCGATGTCGTTCTCGAAAAAGTGCCATCTCGACCTACTTTCAAACAGGTCAGAATTTCCAGAATCTCCAGGAATCACCCAATTGCGGTATGACTTGTAGTTTCCAAGGTTCGGTTCTCAAACCTTAAAAACTAGGAGACTTCTGTTATGTCTGGGAACATAGGGCTGACGTGGCACCCAATTAAGTGCGAAAGGTCAGACCTCAGGAAGAGTCTACTGCCATTCTGGCACAGCTGCGTCATGTGATCATGGTTGCACCCCACAGCTTGCTTCCGTCAGAATAATGGATGCACGTCAGGCCAGCAAGGAGTTGTGATGATCCCGCGTGTCCAATCCCTGCAGCAAATCACATGAATTACTCTAAACGAAGGATTTGCACGGATTATCCCACCAACTTACAGATTCAGTGATCATTATCTCAAGGCATCCCACTATAAAATGGGAGCTCCTCTCTCATTAAGGGGATTGACACATTTTTACTCTTGACAAAACTCTCTCTCTCTCTCTCTAGAAAAGACAGTCTTTAATACCTTGTATCATCAGTGTAAAGTCAATCGTCTAAAGCGACCTGACCTTTATCATTAATAAAAACATCAGTGGACGTAGGATTTGCTTTCTTAGCATCCGAACCACTTTAAAACTCCTTTCTCACTGCATTTAGTGTCATTTTCCTTTCTATTCACGTGTGTCTTTTGGGCCAACCTAACATTTCACACGTGCGTTTCATTGGTGTCAAAATCACGCATCAACAACTTTAAAGTTAGTTTTTTTATGGGAAAATTTTTGCTTTTGTTCTTGTTCAATGATTGAAGTTTAAAGCGTGATGATAATTTGAGTTGTAATTACAGGAGACTGATATCGGGGGGTTTGTAAATCAATCGAGAAAGCATTCATCAAATGATGTACGGGATTAGTGAAGCATTCTTGTTAGGTTACCAAAATTTTAAAAAGAAAATAAAATATTAAAATAAACTAAATTTACTGTTTTATCCTTCCGCAGTTGAAATTAACGGAGAAATTACATGGATGGGTGGACTCTGTCATTTTAAAACTTTTCGGGTGGCAAGAACTGTCGTTAGGCCCCGTTATTAATCTATCTCGTCACTCATTACAAAAGCCCACAACAGAATCCAAGTTCCGAGGTTGACAAATGGCACCCCACTAAACAGTAAACAAGGCCCACAATTCCACAAACGGCACAAATCAATCGGCCTTCAATTTCTTACCGTTGAAGTTCATCGTTCCTCTGTCCCCGCCGCCAAAAAAAATTCAAACTTCACATAAAGAAATAAAAAAACCCTTTCCTCTCTCTAACGGCTCCTACCATTATTATCAAATTTCCTTCAAAGCCAAAATTCCTTTAATCAGTTCAAATCCCACCAATTTCTCACAAATCAGAATGCAATACTAAAACATTTTTTTCAAGAACGCAGAATCCTCTCAAAATATTTTGTCTTTAATCAGTTCAGTTCAATTCAGTTCACAAAATTAATGGATTCAAACCCCAGTTCTCAAACCAAATCAGCCTTGCGCCTCGCAAGAATGAGCTCTGAAGAGCCGCCACATCTTTCTCTAGACCTCATATCTCCTCCCAAGAAACACTCTTCGGTATCTCCCGCTCTTCCTCTCCCAGAATTACTCTTACTCTCACCTTCTCCGTTGAGAAAATCAAGAACCCGTTTAGCGGATCGTCTTGATGCGGCTGAGGAGGTGGCTCTGGAATCAACTGGGTCTCGTAGGAGATGCAAAACAAGAGGAGCTCAAATGGGCATATCCGGTTGTGGGTCTCCGAGGAATAACCGGAGGCTAAGGAGACGATCGGAGATTGAGATAATGAGAGAAGAGAGAGACATTGGGTTAGTGGATGAGATTGGGAAACTAAGAAAAAGGAGGCATAGCGTGCGGTCAAAGAAAGAGAAGCTTAGTTTGGTCCCTTGTGTTCCTTCGTCGAGTTTATCTCCAAGTATGTGTTGATGATTCTTTGATTGTTTTTTTGGTTTCATTTATTTTTTATTCTTTATTTTTACTTTTTATTCTGCTTTTATTTATGATTGGTTTGATGGTGATGTGGTGGATTTAGAAATGGATGATGGTGGTCACGGGAATCTTGATCGAATCGGGCATTTGTTTGTTGATTTGATAATGTGGAGAGATGTTGCAAAGTCGAGCCTTTGGTTTGGTCTTGGATGTTTATGTTTCTTGTCTTCTTGTTTTACAAAAGGAGTCAGCTTTAGGTGTGTGTTTCTTATTTTCTCTATTGTCATTTCATTTACATTCTGTTTTGTGTTTTGATTAATTAGATATCTAAATCTTTCCACTTCCATGATATAAGCATCTTTTCGGCAATTTCGCAACTTAGTTTTCTGTTCTTGGGTGCTTCATTCTTCTCAAATTCAATTTTGCAAAGGTACAAATCCAATTAGTCTTATCATGTTATCTTCCCATTCATTCTCTTTTGTTTTTTTTTTTTATTTTTTCTGAGTTTTGGAATTGGGAAATTTACAGAAATAATGATGGGAAGAAGCGTGAGTTTAAGCTGAAAGAAGAGGACATTTTGAGATTCGGTAGACTAATTCTTCCAGCCACAAACCTTGCAATTTCAAAGACAAGAGAGCTTTTCTCAGGAGAGCCATCAACGACCCTCAAAGTAAGAATAAATATCACTGTTCATGCGTTTAAAGACTCTAAAACATGCCTGTAATTTGCTTCTTATATGAGCTTTGTAATGCTTCTGGATACAGGCAGTTCCATTTTTGCTTCTAGGAGCTGAGTATGGCCATATTATAACAATGCGGAGGCTTCTTGCTCTTGGTATGATCACTACAATACTAATACCCATCTCATAATTTGAGGTCAAGTTTATGAGAAGTTTCTCAATGTTTTTAGCTCCTGATGCAAATGTTCTTGTTGGTGCGAATTTGGGCAGGGTTTTTTATCAGTTTCACTGTCCCAAAACTGTACTCATGCTATTCTGATAGGATAAACCAAAAAGGTATGTATTTTAAGTTACAACTCGGCCATGTACTTGTAAAGAAGTTGGTTTCTCTCTTTTAGATATAATATAATAGTGAATTTTGGGTACTGCAGCTGATAATATGAAATCTTACATGCTCGAAGCATGGGGAGCTTGTTCTCACAAGAAGATTTTGGCAGCATCAGCAGTCATGGCCTTCTGGAATCTGTCCACTGTAAAAACACGTATTTTAACAGGTATTTTTCAGATTACCAACCTGCGATCCATGGTTTTGAATCGATTATCCATAACATTTATGATTCATGTGTGGGTGGTTTTGAAACGATTATCCACAACATTTATGATTAATGTGTGGGTTGCATTCTTGTGGCACTTAAAACACTTTGTTAGCAATTTGGGCTAGTGATTGATCAAAAAGATATGCCAAGATCCTTGAAAATCTAAAATAACCCATGTCAATTTATGTTGTAACTTAGCAATTTGGACCAAAAAGGAATTGGGAGACCTACAATCACCCAGGAAACTGCGGTTGAAATTATAGTTCACAAAGTAGTGAATGACGCTTTACATATAAGATGTAATATCAAGCTCATGATCTCCCTGATCAGTATATTTCCAAATCTCTTATATTTGCAGCATTTATCTCTTTGGTAATACTCCGGTACTGCCGGCAACATCTAGTGCCAAAACGGGAAGAAGTGGAAACAGTTGAAGGGGGGGAGCAAGAGCAGCAGCAAGCATTGGTGGTGGCAGAAGTTAGGGAAGTCCAGAAGTAGCAGTTTTTTTTGTTTCTCTGTGCATTTCTAACGCCAAATAAGATGTTATTTTAAAAGAGAGATGGGGGCATTGTATTTCCACAAAAGCTAAGCTAACACTTGCTCTGGTGTAACATAACAGTTCACTCATCCATGTAATAAGTATAATAAATTTCTTTTCTTTTCTGGGTGTTTTTTTTTTTTTTTCTGGTCAACTTATGAAATCTAGGCATAATTTAAAAAAAAAAAAAAAAAAAACTAATGAGTGATGACTTGGTCAAAGTATATATTCTATGACTGAATATATATAAGCTAGTAAATAAATATATATATTCAAGAGATAATGAGATATCATATATTTTTGTTTGGAACAATATTACTCCAATTTATTATTTATTTTAAATATTTTATATTTTTAGCAGAAGGAAAAAAATAAAAAGAAAAAAAAAATCTGATCAAACTCAATTTTTGAGTTTGAAGTATTTCATGAAATATATTTTAAATATTAAAAATATGAATGTGTGCAATCCATAAATAATGAGAATAACAAAAACATATTTCTTAAGATTATTTATTTTTCTTATTTTTTAATTTCACCTCCTCCCTCTTTAAGATTTCTATTCCTTACACAAAAATTGAAGTCAGCAATATAGCCTCACCATAAAATCTGTATTATTATATTTAATTTGCTAACTTTACTTGATGCCTTTTATTTAAAACCGAAACACAAAAATAGAAGAAAATTCACAGCCCATCGCTTGTAACTTCTAAACCAATGTAGCATAGACACGTGCACAAAGGTCGTTTCACGTACCCAAAACGACATAGTGGAAGCCAAAAAAGCACTGAAAAACCCTAAAGCACCTCTCTTCATTTTTGTACCCGTCGTACTTTTAGTTTTAGACGCTTCAATTCTCCAGAGGACCAAACCTTAACCCAAACCTAGGGCAATTATTGGGATGGCGACAGCCGGTGCGACTGCGAAGAGGAAGCCAGTGTTCGTACAGGTTGATCAGCTGAAGCCAGGCACCAGTGGCCACACGCTCACCCTGAAGGTGGTCTCATCGAAGCCTGTGCCGGTCAACAAGCCACGTGGCTCTAGATCATTGTCTGCTCTTTCTCAGCCTTCTCGACCCCCTCGCATCGCTGAGTGTCTAGTCGGCGATGAGACTGGTTCCATCTACTTCACGGCCCGCAACGACCAAGGTACACTTTATCTTTGTGCCGCTGCTTTTGTTGTTTGTAGTAATTAGGGTTTTTAAGGTTTGATTTTTGTGTGAATTAATTAATCTGGGGAATGTTGGTTTCTTTGTTTGTATTTGTACTGTATGTTAGTTTATTTGTTTGTATTTGTACTGTATGGTATTTAAAGGTTAATAGTTTTATTTTTTTATTTTTTATTTTTTTTAATGGCAAGCAAAAGCAAAGATATTGAAAGTTTAAAAAATCTTTGCCATATGATGTTATTTGGTTGTTTAAAGAATATCAAATACCAAAGTTGACATTTTATGTAGTTTTCTGAATGGCAGTGAGCAAGTTGAGATAGGCAAAAATATTAAATCTATTCTGCTTTCTTTAGTTTATATTGACGCATAGAATTGCCGTTCTGTTAATGTAATCAAATTAAGTTCGCTGGGACAAGCAATTTTATCAAGGTATTCAGGACTTTAGATAATTGAATTTGAATGAAGTTTCTTACTAGCAAGATTGGGTGGTTCTTGGCTTAATTTGCGTTACATTTATTTTTGTGAAAACGTTCGTCTTTGGGAGCTAAAGCTGTTTATAAGTAGCTACTCCCACCCAGCTTGGGTACTTCTAAAAGTCATTTATTTTGTTGTTTCAATTACTTGTACTGATAGGACTATGCATTAATTGTTGTTAGTTGGCTGTTTGCACAATGTTATGGTATTGATAGTTTTGTTCGAATGCAGTTGACATTATGACACCGGGTGCCACAGTGATTCTGCGAAATGCCAAGATCGACATGTTCAAGGGATCAATGAGGCTTGCAGTTGACAAATGGGGACGTATTGAAGTCACTGAACCTGCTACCTTTGAGGTTAAAGAGAATAACAATCTCTCCTTGGTTGAATATGAGCTAGTTAATGTTGAGTGATTGGTATTGTTTGGAAGTGAATATTTTTAGGTTAGCATTACTGAAGGTTTGATTTTTGTTCCCCTGTCAAAACTGTTAACTGGGGTTCAGTTTTCTATGAATGTGGTACAAAGATCTTGCTGAAGATGTTTTTTCAGCCTTGATATTGATATGATAAACGCAAGTAATTTAAGTGTCAGATTGGGAATTAGATTGGGTTTGAAACAGATCAGTTAATGCTATCTTTCTATTTTTATTACTAAGTTAAGATTATCAGATTCTTATTTTCTTTTCCTTCAATTGCCTTCATAGTATGCTTCTCTTATACTCAAAACTCCAAAAATACTTGATGCTGTACTTAGACATGAATACTTGTAGCAAATTTAATTCTTTACTCGGAAAGTTTTAGAAACAGAATTTAAAGTAATCTCAGTTGTGATGATTCTGGAAGAAGTGATGAGCAGATTGCAGTCTTTGATACTGTTAACAAATTGAATCTGAGGTATTTGCAAGAGAATGCTGAGTACTATTTTCAGTGAATATGACTGCTGCAGTCTGTCGTGGGGTGAAGCTCATGTTCCTTGTAACTGTTTCTAAGTTATGTGTGCAAAATCTTAAGCCTAGTTGAGTACATGTTAAAGTAGGTGTGTTCAAAACCAGGTACCCGAACCGGTTTTGACTTTTTCTGGATCCGACCCTAATATTTGGGTCATGCCTAAGGGTACTTGGTAACCAAACTGGTTTCTGGAATACCCAGGTTATTTATCGGATTGGTTACCGGGTACCTGAATTATAAGCAGAATTTTCATGACATTTGAGAAAGTAAGGTCAGTAACTTCCTAATTGCAAGCAATTTCTCAAGTTAAACCCACATTGAACACCTGTATTAAGGTGTAATAAATCACCAAAAAAACAAAACGTAAACAACAAAGAGAGACAGTAAACAATATCACAGACGTAAACAACACGATAGACAGTAAACAATATATAATAGATCAATAATCGGCATCATCAAAATTGGCAGCCTCCAGCATGAAGACATGGGTTTTGGCCCTAGCTCTGCTCCAGCTTGTTGATCAACCCTGCTTTTGAAGGCTTGAAGCTGATAGAGATCCTAAGCAAAAGTTCAACATTCTCAAGTCTAAGAAGCATGGCAAGAAAAAGCAGCCTCCCCCAGTTTATGGCAGTGAGTTCGTCGGCATGCATTGTCTGATGGAAAGAAGAACTAAGCTCATAAATTGAATGTGATGAAAGGAACAATGGTAGGAGAGACACATTATAGAATTTCTCTTACCTACATAATTAACATTCATTCAAATTAAACAAAAATCAAACCAATATCGACCATTAGTTAACATACTCTTTTATCTAAGTATTATCTAATCAAGCAAGAATCATATTCACATGAAGCAGTTAAAACCTACAAGACTACAAGTCTACAACCAAGCAATTAGAACTTAGAAGATATTTAAGACTGATGGAGAAGAAACGATGATTCAACGAAGGAGAAGAAGGACAAAGACAATTCGATTGGAGCACGATCAACTAACGACAACAGAAGGACGACGATCGACTAACAGTGGGTTGACGGACACAAGGAGAACTGGAGAAGAAGCGACGGTGGGTTGAAGATGTAGAAATAGGTAGATTTATGATTTTAGGGTTAGGTAAGGTTATTTCATTTAACGATTTTTGGGTTTTTTTTTTTTATAATTGTTTTTGACAATCCAGGTTCGAGTGCCCGAATTTTGTTAAAACCCTAACCAGTACCCAAACCAAATATTCGGGTATCTCAGAGGCTATAACCCAAATCCGACTCAGATTTTCAAGTACCCAAAAAGTTCAGTTCGGTTCAGATTGCGGGTAATTTGAACACCCCTTGTTAAAGGTCTGATCAGAAATCAATGACGTCCTAGTTGGCAATAAGAATATTTGGATGTTTTTTACTTGCATTTCGTATAATCAGAGACAGCTTTGGAAGCTTTTATAGACTTGTTTCCATCAGCATTGAGCGTGTCTTTTGCGGTACTCAACTATGGTTAAAATGAATTCGTGATAGTCAACAAAACAAAAGATTGCACCCAAACATGGGCTAGGGAATATAGTCTTGCTCGAAATTGCTAGCTCTCTACTGATATAGGATTATCAGTAAATTGATACTTAATTGCTTCCATAAGCAAAGGCACAAACCTAACTCCTAAGCTGGGCCAAGAAGTAAACCGCAAATAAAAGACGGCTGCTATATTATGTGTTGCTGAGGAAATACAAAAGTGCGAAAACCTTGTTCTTTTGGTTAAACAAATAAGGTGGGGATACACCTGTAAGCTTCAAGATTCAGCTAACTGGTTACAACTAAACCTGATCCAAATTTTGGCAGGAATATAAGCAAAGCAGTCAAAACATCTAATACACTCAATTTGGCGATAAGGTTCAACTTGGAGCCTCTCCTGGTTGCAATTGCGAATGAGTAGAGGATATTACAGTCCTAAACAAACAAAAGATGCAGTTAGAAATAAAGAAGAGAGATTGCGAATGAACCAAATGCCTAGGGTTTAGTAAAAAAACTTGATGGCAAGAAAAAAAATATAATTTCTGGAACCAAGATGGAGAAAAGGCACAAAAAAAGAAAAAAAGGGAATAATCAAAGAAAAGAGAATAAAACTAAATTGACTAACTGCTAACAAAAGGGATCATCACATAAATACCCCGTGAACAAAAGGGAACAAAAGAGTAGTCTTAAATTTATAACAGTTAGGACAAAGTAGCAAACCTAAAATAAAAATAAAAAACCAAAAAAAAAAAATTAGTCTTCAAATCACTTTAAAATCAAAATCCTATGACCTCAGATATAGCAAAGAAATCAAAATAAAGGGAAACTATTGCTAAATTTTCAGCAGTCATCTAGGTANTCTGATGGAAAGAAGAACTAAGCTCATAAATTGAATGTGATGAAAGGAACAATGGTAGGAGAGACACATTATAGAATTTCTCTTACCTACATAATTAACATTCATTCAAATTAAACAAAAATCAAACCAATATCTACCATTAGTTAACATACTCTTTTATCTAAGTATTATCTAATCAAGCAAGAATCATATTCACATGAAGCAGTTAAAACCTACAAGACTACAAGTCTACAACCAAGCAATTAGAACTTAGAAGATATTTAAGACTGATGGAGAAGAAACGATGATTCAACGAAGGAGAAGAAGGACAAAGACAATTCGATTGGAGCACGATCAACTAACGACAACAGAAGGACGACGATCGACTAACAGTGGGTTGACGGACACAAGGAGAACTGGAGAAGAAGCGACGGTGGGTTGAAGATGTAGAAATAGGTAGATTTATGATTTTAGGGTTAGGTAAGGTTATTTCATTTAACGATTTTTGGGTTTTTTTTTTTTATAATTGTTTTTGACAATCCAGGTTCGAGTGCCCGAATTTTGTTAAAACCCTAACCAGTACCCAAACCAAATATTCGGGTATCTCAGAGGCTATAACCCAAATCCGACTCAGATTTTCAAGTACCCAAAAAGTTCAGTTCGGTTCAGATTGCGGGTAATTTGAACACCCCTTGTTAAAGGTCTGATCAGAAATCAATGACGTCCTAGTTGGCAATAAGAATATTTGGATGTTTTTTACTTGCATTTCGTATAATCAGAGACAGCTTTGGAAGCTTTTATAGACTTGTTTCCATCAGCATTGAGCGTGTCTTTTGCGGTACTCAACTATGGTTAAAATGAATTCGTGATAGTCAACAAAACAAAAGATTGCACCCAAACATGGGCTAGGGAATATAGTCTTGCTCGAAATTGCTAGCTCTCTACTGATATAGGATTATCAGTAAATTGATACTTAATTGCTTCCATAAGCAAAGGCACAAACCTAACTCCTAAGCTGGGCCAAGAAGTAAACCGCAAATAAAAGACGGCTGCTATATTATGTGTTGCTGAGGAAATACAAAAGTGCGAAAACCTTGTTCTTTTGGTTAAACAAATAAGGTGGGGATACACCTGTAAGCTTCAAGATTCAGCTAACTGGTTACAACTAAACCTGATCCAAATTTTGGCAGGAATATAAGCAAAGCAGTCAAAACATCTAATACACTCAATTTGGCGATAAGGTTCAACTTGGAGCCTCTCCTGGTTGCAATTGCGAATGAGTAGAGGATATTACAGTCCTAAACAAACAAAAGATGCAGTTAGAAATAAAGAAGAGAGATTGCGAATGAACCAAATGCCTAGGGTTTAGTAAAAAAACTTGATGGCAAGAAAAAAAATATAATTTCTGGAACCAAGATGGAGAAAAGGCACAAAAAAAGAAAAAAAGGGAATAATCAAAGAAAAGAGAATAAAACTAAATTGACTAACTGCTAACAAAAGGGATCATCACATAAATACCCCGTGAACAAAAGGGAACAAAAGAGTAGTCTTAAATTTATAACAGTTAGGACAAAGTAGCAAACCTAAAATAAAAATAAAAAACCAAAAAAAAAAAATTAGTCTTCAAATCACTTTAAAATCAAAATCCTATGACCTCAGATATAGCAAAGAAATCAAAATAAAGGGAAACTATTGCTAAATTTTCAGCAGTTATCTAGGTAAACTCTTCTAAATTTTATTTAACAGACATGCTTCTCTTTAAAAGGCAAATCTTTTGAAAATAACAAAAACATTTTCGAACCCACTGGACATTCATCATACACTAGGAGCTTATTCGATCCAAGATACTAGAATTCTTTTAACATTAAAATCCGAAACTAAATAAAAAAACGAAAGTGCTTGATTTAAAAATTTGCAATACATGTTTGCTTTTAATGTCTATGAACTACATTAAATATCAAACACCAAACAAAAAGGAAATATCTTCAAGACAAAAGACAAAAGTCAAAAGTCAAAAGTCAACTAATTCATCATCTAGGTTTGGAAGTACAGAAATCCAACTTTCTCTTCTGCCGATCATTGCAAACTTCTAATGTATCAGCAATCACTGCCTTAGAATGCAGAATTTTGTACTTAAAACTCGCTTGAATCCTCTGAACATTCATCACACATCATCATTGCAAGCTGATTATATAAAAATTATCAGTATGCTACCTTAATGATCAAAATGATCCTATTCTTAAATCGTTTTCAATCAAGAAAATGTTTATAATTATACATGGACACTCAACGACTCTTGACTAAATAATAGCATCAATTACAGCCAGAGAAACATGAATAACAATTAAAGTTACCAAAAAGAAATATATTCATAAACAGCATTACAGAGGGAAACTCATAAATGATTCACCATAACAACTGATAAACAATGAAAAAACTTAAACCTTGGAATCTCACAACAACTACTTGAGAGGACAATTAGTTGCTTTTTATTTTTGGTAATCATCCTCTAAGGAACAACTGAATGGAATCACTAGAATGCCACATGATTCACCAACTTGTCCATGTAGAATATCATCTTTTGTTAGATTTAGCTTAAGACTTGAGATGCTCTTAAGAATATTACGAGCTTTATTATAAGGGAAAAGAAAAGCTAATCATAATCACATGCAAAAGAAAATTCTTCCAAAATGAAGGCATATGCAGAGCTCATTGCATCAAGCTTATTAACAGATCTTTAAGACTACTTCCAACAAATCAAATTTCTATTTTCTTTTAAACAATAAAATATGCCATTGTTTATTTCTTTATCAGGTTTGACTGTTACTTTGAAATAACGACAGTACTCCCTAATCTATAGATGAGGCCAGTCCCTAGTAGCTTAAATGCTTGAAAACATGAACAAATCCAAGTCATTCCATCTTTGCTTCTCGATCTTCATCTAGTCTTGTTTCAGCCTACAGCATGAAAAAGAGGAGTATGCACCTTCTTATCAAACAAATACAGGAGAAAAAGAATGGAAGATGGACTTATTTTAAGAGCATAAATTTAACAATAGAGACGAGGTAGGACGAGTGTATGGCATCAAGCTCAGCTAGTTGGTCATGGCCTAACATTTACATCCATGAAAAACTGGAATCAAAAGGAAATGAAGAGGAAACAAAGATGGAAAAACTCATTTTGTGATCAAAGCAGCAGTTACACTTGCAGTCTAATTCATTTTGTTAAAGCTGTAATAAAGGCTCTATTAGTCCAAAATTTAGCAAACACCAAGCCACTAAATTACCCGAAAATTATAAGGACGAAAAGAACATCATTCAAGGGCGTCCTATTAACTTTGCTAGTTACCTATTTCAAGAACGAAAAGGCAAAAAGTTAGGTAACCTACAAAGTACAAGCAACCAACACCACCTTCTATTGAATGACAATATGACAAATATGCAACTCTCAGCGAAAACCCATTTGAAAATCTCATTCATTCACCTAAAAATCCAATCCTATGCATCCAGTTTCTTAAAAATGCACACAGAGTAGCACCGACATACAGTAAATAAATCAGCTCAACAAAAAGCAATGGTTTTGTGACAGACTGAAGTGACTGTACCGTCAGGAAGCGAGCCGTAACTGCGGCGAGAGATGGAAAGCATTGACGTCATCAAAGCCGAAGCAGTGACAGTATGATACGGCAGCAATGATTCCACACAAAAGCTCGTTTGAACGGGGCTCCTTTCATTGCCAAATCCATACATTACATTTTGACATTACAAAATTAACATGAATGAATAATTGTGAGAAGATTACTACTGACCTGAGAGTTCCAAGAGATAGGGGTTTCTTAGCGGAGACGCCAAAGTGGGAGCGAGTCGCTTTGGTTTTGGCTTGGAAACCTAACTTTGCTGCGGCATTGCGAACCGAGCTGGATCGGAAAATGGATCTGGCGGCGGAGAATGACGCCATCGTCGATATCCGAATCAGTAAATAAAGTAATTTTTCTATTGAAAAGAAATTGTGTTTAAGAGGTTTTGGTTTTGGCTTTCTGAAGGAGTGAAGCTAAAACCCTGCGGAGTGTTTGGGTTCACGGCTAGTACTGCCTCCGTTGAGTGCAACTCCCTATTTTTGTCTATTTTAGGTTCAAATCAAAAGTAAAAACAAAAATATATTGCCGAAATAGAATTTTAATTCTTTCCTATAATACATCCCAATTTTCCTTTTATAATTTTCCATATAATATTTGAAAATTACTGAAGCTTTCTCTTAATTGTAAAAGAGATTTTTTTAACTAAATCCATGGATGATAAATGATTTATTTTTTCATCACTTTTATTAGACTTTATTTATTTGTTTTCGTTAAAATACTACTCATCAAACCTTCAAAATATTTCAAAATGATAGTGCGTTTGTTTCACAATTTTCTTCTATCTTACTCAAAATACATATATGTTTCCTTATTTTAAAAATAATATTCTATTTTATTTAATTATTTTTAAACCCCTAAACTTGTTAATTTAATTAAACACCTCAAAAAAAGTTAAAAAATTGATAAAAACACCCCCATCGACCCACATTTGCCAAATTCCGACCACCACTGCCGAAAGTTGGTCGAAATATGTATAATGGTGCACTACTGGCCAGATCCAAACGGTAGATACAGCGTTTGGATCTGGCCAATAGTGCGTCGATCTAGCTTTTCTGGCTAGATTCACGGTAGATCTGGCCAGAAAATGTCGGATCTTTGGCTGTAACTAGTCGTCAACGACAACCATATCTTTGGCCATCGTTGACGACCAAATGCGACCAAATCTGGTCGTCAATGATCAAATCTAGCCATAGATCTGACATTTTCTAGCTAAATTCATGGTGAATCTAGCTAGAAAAGGTCATATCAGCGTACGACTGACCAGATTTAACCGATCATGCACTGATACAGCGACTCTGATAACCCTCCGACGGTGGCAACTGGGTGCCGGTATTTAATAGGTAAATGGGGGTGTTTTTGTTAATTTTTAATGTTTTATTAAAAGGATATTTAGTAAATTAACCAACTTAGAGAGGTGTTTTATAATTTTTAAATTTTATCTTCTAATAATTACCTAATTTTACTTTTTTTCAAAATATTATTATGAAAATTATAGAATAATGAATCAAAGCACCCTAAATTTTCTGAAAATAAAAACAAATTAAACAAACAAGTTTTGCCGGGTTACAATATTTACACTTACCAAACAGATCCCTGAGTAAACAAAAAATCGGACCCAAGTACTCTGACCCGACATTTGTTCTCTTCGGCTACTCTCTCTTCTTCAATGGCTTCTCTGTTCAAGGTAATATCAACTTCAATGTCTTAGCTTCCATTGTTTTCTTCAAACAACTTCAATTGGGTTTCGAACCAATTACAGTTTTTTGCTTTCTTCTGTAGGATCAAACGAAGCTTTCAGCGTATCGTGATAGAAGGTTTCCTGGGACACAAGAGGAATTTGAACACGCGTTGCTGACGTCAACAACTGTTTATGTCGGAAACATGTCGTTTTATACGACGGAAGAGCAAATCTATGAGCTATTTTCACGAACTGGAGAAATTAAGAAGATTATTATGGGTTTAGACAAGAACAGCAAAACACCTTGTGGCTTTTGTTTTGTCTTGTAAGTCTCTTCTTCGTTATTGTGTTTCAAATGAAGTTAGTAATGTGATTTGTTTTCTTTTATATGTTAAAAAAATTACTTCTTTTACTGTTTCTTTTGCATGTATGCTTTAGTAAGTATGAAAATATACATAGCTTGAATTGTAATTTTAACCTGAATGAGCTAATGGGTTTATTTTGTAAACCATGTCTAGAGAACTTTGGTGTTAGCGTTTATCGAATTTTGATTTACTGATAAGTACCCTCTCTGAAGAATAGGGTTATGGATGACAGAGTAGTAGAAAGCAGTTTGATATTTGTTAAATGTTTAACCAAAGCTGATATTTGTATAACTTTGTGCGTTAGATACTACTCTAGAGAAGATACTGAGGATTGTGTCAAATATATAAGTGGTACAATTCTTGATGACCGTCCTATTCGAGTGGATTTTGATTGGGGATTTCAAGAAGGAAGGCAATGGGGTCGTGGTCGAAGTGGTGGGCAGGTGAGTTACGGTGCCTGCCACTTATTATTGCCTGTGGTCTGCCTCTGTGGTTGATTTAATTTGATTCTCTGTGTATTCTTGTATTTTTGCAGGTTCGGGATGAATATCGTACCGACTACGATCCTGATATCCTTTTAGTGACATATTGTGACTCTGTGTATCATATTACCTGAACTTGGTCATTGGTTTCTTTGAGTCTCAACAAATATTTGTGTTTCCTCGGTAACTTTGTCTGTTTAGTCACTGGCTGGAGATACACTTGTTCTTCCTGTTTTAGATGAGCATATAATGTCACTTGGATATTTTTTATGCCGTCTTCCCAATATACTATTATACTAGGCCAGGGTTTGCTACAGATGTTATGCTATCAACATCTTATAATGCGTTAATTGGTTTCTTATGTGTCTGCATATATTAAAGATTAAGGGATTGTCATGTTCCTCATGGTACTTTGTTGCTTTTTCCTTTGTGTTTACTTATGGAACATCCTTTTGGGGAATTTCTTTAATTTGCTCCCTCAATTTGATGCCTTTTTTACCCCCTTGATTATTGTTGTTAGTTGAAAAGTTGAATGCTCTTTCAGTTTTCAGTTTCCTTAACATGTTGTACGCAGAGGAGGTTATGGAAAATTAGTTCAAAGAGAGTTGGAAGCACAAAGACAGCTTGTAGATTATGGTACCGGTTCATTGAACTCTTTCCAACCGGTTATGCCCCATCATTGTAAGTTTTGAGAGCTATTATATGTAGAATTTTAATTCTTAGACTGGGAATGTCGTTAGCAAGTTGCTTGTTTGCTGGAATTACTCCCGTGTTTGACTCATACATTCTTTTTCGATTTCTATAGAAGTAGGGGCAGTCTTGGGTGTACCTTAAATTGGGCCATTTACCCATCTTACTACTAATTCAGTGTTTTGAACTTGACAAGATATAATCCTGCCTGGCCTGACTACAGACTCAGAAGTATTAGTCAAATTTTGACCTATTAATATTGTTAAGCGGGAAAATTATCTTTACTGCGAGTGTTTTTATCGAGTGTTATGGCACTTGAATATATTGCCTCATTGTGGAACACTAATTTGAGGACAAATAGTTTCTGGAATACAGAATCTAAGATTTTTATTAGGAAGTTTTTTTGGTTCTCTTTCAAGTGACTTCTGTGGGATGTCTGTGTGTTGCAAAATGATCTTAGGAAGTTTGTTTATACTGGGTCAAGATGTATGTTTTTGTGAACATGCTATCCTCAATTTATTACTATTATTATTTTTTTAATTCATTTTACTCCCTAAACTCAATTGTAGTTGAAAATGTAAAACTTTTTCAACATCATAGAGGAGAAATAGAAATTCAAGAAGTTAGAACATAAAACTAAACTTTAGAAGTGGAAGTTCAGGCATTTTAAGAGCCATCTAACCTTTTTAAACTGTGTGTAAACATGTATGCAATGAACTGGTTATATTTTTTTCAGTTTCCTTTAGTATCTACTTCATGTCCCAAAACTCCTCCCTAACTGAGGTGTCTTAGGAAGCCTTTGGGTCCTATATACCACCAGTAGTTTTGGTAAGCTATAGTTTTCAACTAGGTTTGGTATTCAGCCGCTAGGAATGATTTTTGATTGGATCAAAGTTCAAGTTCTTGTCTTTAATTTTTTTTTTTCAAACCCACCTCTGACATTTTAATTTTGCAGATGGTAGTGGTAGACATGGTGGAGGTCATGGTCATGGGGGTTCTCATAGGCATGGCAGAGGTACCTCCCTTTACTTCCTTGTATCCCAATTCTATTACACATATTTGAATATATTTAATCTATCTTTGAGTAGAACTATAGAAATCTTATTTGATTGCTGCTTCTGAGAAAACAGATTACCATCGAAAGCGACTTCGCGAAGATGATCGTCATGCACATGAGAACTCCAGGAGAAGCTCAGATCATGAATCTAGGAGAAATTCTGATCATGACTCAAGACCGGTATTTGTTAAATGCTTGACTGCCTCCCTCTTCAATCTTAAGATTTTTACCCTTTTTAGCTGTATTATGGGTTTACTACTTAAAAAGTGGAAAATTTGAGTTACCACTGTGCCTCCATGATGCCATTTTGCTTCAGATGCTAATGAGGGGGATCTAATAAGCTGTAGTCTAGGTTTAATTCTTGGTCAGCAGAATATAGAAGAATGAAAGCATATATCACTTTTAGTGTATTGATAACACTGGCAACTTTGTTTTTTTAGATGGTGAAAGAGAATACAATTTTTTGCTTCTTCGCAAACATGTACAGAATATTCCATTGTTTATAGTTTGACATTTCTTCAATGCACAGGAGAAGAATCCACGTTTCCGGGAGAGTGGTGACTCTGATGATGATGAGGATGATGATCGGAAGCGGCGAGCTTAATGATTCTAATGCTATGATTTGGTGTTTTCTGTTGGCACACCAGCAGCTTGATGAAAAACAATGCATGCTGCTCAAATATGGGAGGATCATACAGTGTTCTTGCAACAAGTCTAAAGCTATTGATTTTTGTTTGATAAGCTTAGTTTCTATATTGGGCAATTATGGGGACAAACTGACATAGTGTCATATGAAGATATTTCAAACAACGGTGTCTATTATCTTAAGTTTGAGACTTGTAACTCGAGTACTGAAGAAGAGACTTCAAAATTTATACCTTTTAACGTGCTTTAGGATTATTGTTGTTTGCATCCGTTTTGATAATGGAACCTGTAAGGTAACTTGAGTTGTATGTAATCATGCATGCCCAACTGGGTTTCTGAAATCACTACTCATTTCCGAGCGTTTACAGAAGTGTTTACAAGAATTTTTTGGTGTGGTACGAAGGTGGCAATTGTTGACAGATTCTCTAACGAGTATTTACATTAGCACGCAGGGTAGTTCAAGTGAAGTTAGATGAAATTCACCTTTCAAGGTTGCATTTATACACAACTTATTCATACCATTATTCCAACTTCTCTTCCAAATATTTTTGGCAATATGAACGGAAAATGTCTTGGACACTCCAAGTAGGCATGTGAATTTGAGATACAAAACAATTGAAGTTTTTATCAATTCGTAAGGATATATCAAGTGCATTACTTTAAAAGGCTCACACGGGGTTTCAATTTCTGAAAGAGGGTAAAATACTGGAGCATCCCAATGCTACCAAGTATTATCATATTTTATGATCATAAAGAAACCCAGCTTCTGTTTTCCTTGAATAGGAACAGCATAATGAATTAACAGAAGATTACAGAAAATAAATTATATAAATTGAAAATTACAAGGTCCGTCAAAACTGTTACATAAAAGGACCTCATGCTTCATTGTGTCAGTTGACCTTGCAGTACATTAAAAAATGACTACTGAAGAATCGCTGAACTGAGCAAACCATACCTTAGAATACCAGCATTTAAATCAGGGAGTAATTTGCATGACACGATTATGCACGAGCACAATATCCATAGAACTCATTCAACTTCTTTAATGATTCTCTTTTTACGCAATGGCTCAGTTACGATGCTTCCTGGGGCACTGTGCGCTTTCCTTCTTTCTGCTTTTCTTCTCTCAGCTTCAATCATAGTGCGCCTTAGGGCAGCCGCTTTGTATATTGGTTTGGGCAGGTGCCTATGCCTGCACAAGCAAATCATAAAAGCCAGAACATTAAGTAAAGCATACATTTTAGCTGCCCATCCAATTTGATTAGATGAGAAACAGTCCAAGAAATTGTTAATGCAAATTGAAGGCATATCAGAAACATGCACAAAGGCCAAATATAGATTCTAAATCATTTGGCAGGCAATTCTGAGGGGCTGATTGCTATTTAGGCACAACATGTATTTCAACGAACATAACTGACAACTAATCAAAACATAGCTTGATTGACACAGTTTCAGATTAGGACAAGCAGGGAGAGTTTATTAAGAATGAAATGTCAGCATCCCATCTTACCTGACTATTCGCTTGACCTCAGGAAGGTGCTTATAACGATTCTTGACAGCCTCATGATACTCATGTTTTCTTCTTTCCCTTGGGTGAAGCTGTAGATTAGAATGGCTCAAGGTTAATATTAGGAAGCCATGAAGAAAATTTAAACAATATAAATGAAACATCAGCTCAAATGGCCACGAATATCAATGGCTCCGTTTGGTAAAATATTTTCACCTTATCCTATTCCACTATCCTATCAAATCCTATCCAAATACAAATTTGTTTCAATATCCAAAAAAATCTCTTCAAAATTCAATCCTATTCTATTCAACTCAAAATATTAACAATTACCTTTCTCAAAAAATTTACCAAACACATTTTCAAATTCAAATTCTATTCTCATAAAACCAACCCAACTCAACTCAACTCAACTTTTACTTTTTCCAAAACACTATTATAAAAAGTCTAATAATAGTGTACCAAATGGAACCAATGTCTTTGAGCAAAAAATGATATCTTTCAATGGTTTCATTTCAATAGTATTTCAGTCTTTGTACATCTTATCTATATTTTTAAGCTATCATAGTCATAAATATTATTTTCTTTTGCTATTAACTGAACAATAATTTAACACAATATATTCAGGATGTCAACATCATTTGTTAATGAGACCATGCATACAAATAAAATATTTATTTTATATTCTCATCATAGCTAGAACAATACAACAGGATAGCCTTCAAATTTCCAAGTTTTAGAAATAAATTGTGTGAAAGCAAGATTCTTACAACTCCTAATTGCTCGGATGCTTTAGCCTTCCAAAGCCTAAGGTTGGTATCATCACTTCCAGATATAACATAACTGGCATCACAGCTGAACTTCACACAGAAGACCCTGAACATTAAAAAAGAAAATTGCAGTCAGAAAACACAAACTTGATGAAAATGGTACATATTCCACTAAAAGTCCTCAAAAGCTAAGCAATGTAGCATAAAAAGGCACAATCACACACATCTGAATAGAAACACAGGTTTGCTCTCGGAAGCTAACCATAAATATTAAAGGAACCAAGTTTCAATCAATACAGAGGAAATGAGATAGATAAAATATACTAAACAATGCAAAAACCTTTGCATTCTCTTAGTATGATAGATTTCCCGGCTTCGACCACCATTATACTGGAAAATTCTAATCTGTAAAATAGAAGTTTAATTAAACAATAAATCTGTCATCAACCAAACATGGTAAAAGATGAAATATAAGCAAATTCAAGACAACTCACTGTTCTATCATAAGATCCAGTAACAAATTCTCGACCAGTTGGTGAGTAGTCAATATCCATCCTAGAAAAGAAATTAAACAAAAAAAAAATCATTTCAATAGCAATGGTTAATAGCTAATTAGTTAACATATAACAGCTTAAAAGACATGCATATCCCAACTCACACAGCAGATTCATGACCCATGTGTACATATTTTGCTTCATCCAACTTTCTAGCATCGTAGCTATAGCAATTGCAATCCTCATTTGCCTACATCATCATGGAAAGAGACCGGTGACTCATGACACTTAAAAATGAAAGGAAACTAACTCTTATACAACTAGTGCCATATATATATGATTGGTTCAAAGAAAATAAGCTTCAGTTGTTGTGCTTACAGCTGTGAAGTTCATTGGCTCCATGGGGTTCCAAGAGATAGAATTGCATTTTGTCTGTCCAGTGAAGATGCAAGTCAACAAGAGGAAGACAAACACATTAGAAAACATTCAACACATAAATAATCATTGATCAGAAGCCAAATACAAACCAATTTCACCTAAAAAAGATTAAAAATGAAAATCCTACCCAACAGCATATAATATACTATGTGATTTGAATACTTCCATTCATCAACATTCAAAGCAATGGAGAGACAAGATTACCCTCATGATAACTTTCCTTGCCGGGGATGACATGCGCAAATCATATAATACTATGCTGCGATCACTACAAAAAGAGGGAAATTAATGGATTCAATGAATCACATACCCCTTGGACAATGTATCACAATAGAGATTCCAAATATATTAATTAAACCACATATCAAAACGTACCTAGCTGTTGTTGCTAAAACGTTTGGTTCTCCCGGATTAAACTTAACAGATATAACTGTCTCTGTTCCCCATTGAAAGCTGTTGACTGGCTGAGACCTGATTACAGGGCATAGTGTCATAAAATATTTTGACTTGTTTACTTACATACATAAAAATCTAATCAAACACAGCTTAAGATGAAACCTATTGTGATTCCATATGTCAACTTGAGCGCCAGATGTGGCAAAGAGATCTCCATCCCACTGGTGATCAACAGCCCTGAAAACAGAAAAAAGTGGGGTCAGAAAAAAGTATGATGAAAGACCTACGGAAATTTCCTGCAGTAAAATGAACATGCAGAAAAAATGAAACATCTTTTAGATGTTATTATCCTTACCAGAATGCATTCTTCCAAACATAAACAGCCAGTGGCTGTAAATTTCATTTGCAATTTGGTCAGAGAAAAAAGAAGCAGATTTAAAAATTCATTCATTGCCTTACATAGGTCATCATCATGAAAGAATTACCTCTGCCGAATTATCAGATGAATCATCTGACTCTGTAAGAGTAGCAACAGGAACATTCCAGAGCCTGACACTGAATGAAAAACAGTCCAATTTTCAAAAGTGAGAGCAATGTAGGTGAATCTTCAAAGCAGCTATGTTTCAAGTTCAGAACAAGAATAGAAGTTGAATCTTGGTAGAAAAATCAGTTCACTTCTAATTTTCGAAAATCCTATGATCCATGATAACAATACAAGTTGTTTTCTTACGTGGAATCAGTTCCACACGATACTAGAATGCGACCATCTGTCGACACTGTCAAACCCCGAACAGCACCTTGGTGACCAGGATACTGACAAACTGTTTTCCTGTTCATTTGTTCATTAAACACAAGACAATTACATTTCTAATGAATAATACGAGAAGAGGACCTAGATCCGAATTGATCAACAAAAGCTAAAATAAGCCAATAAAGACAGCATTATATTTACCTGTTAGCTATATCCCAAAGACGAATATCTGCAAACAGACACGCCAAAAAGGAAAAATGCAAGAACAAATTATAGTAATCATAAAAAGATTAAAAAAAAAAAAAAGACGAGAACAAAAAAAGACCTCCATCCATAGAGCCAGAGAACAATCCTTTCAAATAATTGGGGTTCTTGGCCATGCACGATACTCCATCTGTATGACCATCCATAGCTCCAATAAACGGCCTTGCAAAAATCTAAACATGAAGAAATTAAAAAAGTAAAGCCTCGACAAAAAAAAACTTAAAGCCAGTATTTTGGAACTTACCTTCTCCAATTTAGCAGCATTAAGAGCCCTGACGTACTCCACCGCCTTCTCTTGGGGTCGAAGAGTGGGGTCGTAATTATGATAGACCCTCTGGAGATCTTGGCTTCGTTCTCGAGTGAATTCATCAGTGGAACGTGATATTACTTTCACCTTCATTTTTTAATGTGTTTTATTAGGGTTTAATATGAAAAACTTTATATATTATAGATGCATATATGTTTGTGCGTCTGTAAGAATACTGGGAATACAGTGAGGGTTGTAGAGAGAGAGAGAGTAAAACCCTAGAGATAGTTATTCGAAGGAGGAAGAAGACGGCTAAAACCCCATTAGAAATTTCAAAGCCCGTGGGCCTAATTAAAGCCCGAACTAACACACAAGTGTCCTTCACTTGGGTAAATTCAATTAAGAGGCTTTTTATGATTGGTTAAACTTGTTTTGACATGAAAACTATTGCGGCAACACCAGAAACATGTCAGAAAATTCCGTGGGCCGTTTTTACGCTTGATGACAAAGGCCTAAAGTTGAGACTCGAGATCACCAATGTTTTCTGGAAACCATTTTTATTCTCTTTCTCATTGTTTTTCTCTTGGTCTGACCTATTTAATAAACCTTTTTATATTCATCACAAATCTTGTCAATCAATGATCATCAACAGTCAGGCTAAGTAATTTTGCACTATCATATCCATTCCTAACCAAAATACGCATTTATTTCTTATTATGAAAACGTTATTCTTTTTTACTTAATTATTCTTTTTTACTTAATTTTTTTTAAACATTGTAAGTTTGTTAATTTAATTAAACACTTCTCAAAAAAAATTTAAAAACTGACAAAAAACACTCTCACCCATCTACATTTGCCAGATTCTGATCACTACAATTAGCAGATTGTCAGAATCTGGTATAATAACGTACTACCGATTGAATCTGGTCGGTAGTATATTGATCTAGTCTTTTTCGACCAGATCTATTGTGGATCAAACCGAAAAAGGTCAGATCTACGATAGCCAGATTTTTTGCCCTAGCTAGTCGTTAAAGATGGCCAAGATATGGCCATCATTGATGAGCAAACGCGGCCAGATTTGATCGTAGATTTGACTTTTTTCAATCGGATCCTCAGTAGATCTGACCGGAAAAGGTCATATCGACGCACGATCGGTCAGATGCAGTCAATTGTACATCGATACGGTGACTCCGACCACCCTCTAGCGGTGGTGGCTGTCTACCGGTATTTAATGGGTGGATGAAGGTGTTTTTGTTAATTTTCAATATTTTATTACAAGGGTGTTTAGTAAATTAACAAAGCTAAGAGAGTGTTTTTATTAATTTTTAAATCATACCTCGTAATAACCATCTAACTCTTACTTTTCCAAAAATCTTATTCAAAATAATAAGGGTGCGTTTGGTTTAGTATTTTGGATAGGATTTTGGGGATAGTATTGGGTTATTGGATAAGGGAGTATTACGAGGTAAATTTTAAAAATTTGTAAAAAAACCCTTAGGTTTACTAATTTAATTAAAGACCCTAACAGATAAAATGACAAAAACACTCCCACCACCTGCAGTGCCAGATTCCGGCCACCACCGCCGGAATCTGGCCGAAAAATTTTGTTACGGCATAGACCGGTCGGATCTGTGCTGTAACACGTCGTTATGGCCTTTTCCGGCCAGAGCCAGATCTACGGTCTGTTATGGACGTCGACGGCCGGAAAAGGCCAAACGACGGCCATCTTTGGCCGTCAGCGACTGCCAAAGATGTGGCTGTCGTTTTCGGTCAACGACGGTCAAGATTTGGCTATTGCTGAAGGCTAGATCTGGCCTTTTACAGCCCGATCCGTGGTGGATCTGGCCGGAAAAGGCCACATTGGTGAACTTCCGGCCATTTCTGGTCGGAAGTTAGGCCGTTGTATAGATTTTGGCTATCACCGATGGTGGTTGCCAGAATCTGATAAGTTGGGTTATTGGGGGTGTTTTTGTTAATTTTTAAACTTTTTTTAGGGGGCATTTAGTGAAATTAATAACTTTGTAGGGTCTAAAAATAATTAAAAAATAGGGTAATATTTCTGGAATAATGTGCCAAATATTATTTAGAGAATAGGATCCAGAATATGGATAAAAATACTATGCCAATTGCCAAACATAGCCACACGCTTAAATAATCCTAAATCAGCAATAGATTCTGTGTATTGCAAACCATTTAACGAGATATTAAACAATTACAACAAAATAATAATGCCGTATATTTCGTCATTGTTGATGTATATTTTTGTTCTTTAATCGACTAAGGTTCGAAAAGAACAAGACACGCAAGTAAGAAACTAATAATTAATGTCATTTCTTCGAGGTCTTCACGATTCGATAATTCTCTTGAGGTTTCTATCCGCCAGTACTCACTGGACATTTTACAAGTCAGTCAATAGTTTATGATGATCATCTAAAATCTAAATCCATCCATATAAGAATAAGAGAAAGAGAGATACTAATTTTGGCAAGTATGCTTTTGATGACACTCTGTGTTCTGATTATATCATTGATCTGGGGTCTAAAATTCTTGAACAAGATATGGTGGAGACCGAAGAGGATAGAGAAGCAACTAAAGAAACAAGGGATCCATGGATATCCATACGGGTTGTTGCATGGTAACACTCCCCTTAAACCTCCATCCATAGAGCCAGAGAACAATCCTTTCAAATAATTGGGGTTCTTGGCCATGCACGATACTCCATCTGTATGACCATCCATAGCTCCAATAAACGGCCTTGCAAAAATCTAAACATGAAGAAATTAAAAAAAGTAAAGCCTCGACAAAAAAAAAAACCTTAAAGCCAGTATTTTGGAACTTACCTTCTCCAATTTAGCAGCATTAAGAGCCCTGACGTACTCCACCGCCTTCTCTTGGGGTCGAAGAGTGGGGTCGTAATTATGATAGACCCTCTGGAGATCTTGGCTTCGTTCTCGAGTGAATTCATCAGTGGAACGTGATATTACTTTCACCTTCATTTTTTAATGTGTTTTATTAGGGTTTAATATGAAAAACTTTATATATTATAGATGCATATATGTTTGTGCGTCTGTAAGAATACTGGGAATACAGTGAGGGTTGTAGAGAGAGAGAGAGTAAAACCCTAGAGATAGTTATTCGAAGGAGGAAGAAGACGGCCAAAACCCCATTAAAAATTTCAAAGCCCATGGGCCTAATTAAAGCCCGAACTAACATACAAGTGTCCTTCACTTGGGTAAATTCAATTAAGAGGCTTTTTATGATTGGTTAAACTTGGTTTGACTATTTTTTCGTCTGTTGTTGCGGTAACACCAGAAACATGTCAAAAAATTCCGTAGGCCGTTTTTACGCTTGATGACAAAGGCGTAAAGTCGAGACTCGAGATCACCAATGTTTTCTGGAAACCACTTTTATTCTCCTCCTCAATGTTTTTCTCTGGTCTGACCTATTTAATAAACCTCTTTATACTCATCGCAAATCTTGTCAATCAATGATCACAACAGTCGTGGATACCGAGGGTTAAGTAATTTTGCACTATAATGTTATTTTATTTTTTTTAAACTTATAAGTTTGTTAATTTAATTAAACATCCTCTAAAAAAAGTTTAGAAATTAACAAAACACTCTCACCCATCCACATTTATCAGATTATGACCACCACTGTTGGCAAGTGGTCAAAATCTGGTATAATGATGCACTACCAACTAGATCTGGTTGGTAGTGTATCGATCTAGTCTTTTTTGACCAGATTTACGACGATCAGATTTTTTACTGTAGCTAGTCATCAATGACGGTCAAGATATGGCCGTCATTGACCATCAACGATAGTCATATCTCTGGTTGTCATTGACGAGCAAATACGGTCAAATCTGATTATAAATCTAGCCTTTTTTGATCGGATCTATAGTAGATTTGATCGAAAAATATCATGTCGATACACGATCAGTCAGATCCAATCATTCGTATGTTGATATGGTGACTCTAGCCATCATCTAATGATGGTGGCTGGCTATCGGTATTTAATGGGTGAGTGAGAATATTTTTGTTAATTTTTAATATTTGATTGCAAAAATGTTTAGTAAATTAACAAATCTAAGAAAGTGTTTTTGTTAATTTTAAAATTCCACTCGTGATAATCGCCTAAACTCTTACTTTAAAAAAAATGCTATCCGCACACGCTTAAATAATCCTAAATCAGCAATCGATTCTGTGTATTGCAAACCATTTAACGAGATATTAAACAATTACAATAAAATAACAATGCCGTATATTTCGTCATTGATGATGTATATTTTTGTTCTTTAAATAACTAAGGTTCCGTTTGGTTCAAAATTTGGGGGTTTTGGGAAAAGTTTTTTGAAAAAAGTTAAAAAAAAGTTGAATTGGGCGGGTATTACGATGTAGAATTTATAAATCAATAAAATACCCTTTATGTTTGTTTTTTTACAAAATACCCCCTATAATAAAACATTAAAAGTTAACAAAAATACCCCAAATCCACCCTCAAACACCCCCAGCCGGCGACCACCACCGGAGGTGGTCGGAGTCGCCGTATGGGCGCATGACCGGTTGGATCTTGCCGGTCATGCGTCACTATGGCCTTTTCCGGCCAGATCTACGGTCAGATCTGGCCGTCGTGACCGAGTGTTACGGCCAAAGATCTGGCCGTCAACGGCCAGATCTTTGGCCTTAGATCTGGCCTTTTCCGGCTAGATCCACTGTGGATCTGGCCGAAAAAAGCTAGATCGGCGCACTACCGACTAGATTCAGCCGGTAGTGCGCCATCCTACCAGATTCAGGCCATTTTCCGGTGGTGGTGGCCGGAATCTGAAAAATGTGGATTATTGGGGTGTTTTTGTAATTTTAAAAAAAAATATTTAGGGGTATTTAATTAAATTATCAAATTTAAGGGGTTTAAAAAAAGTTGAATAATATTGGGAGTAGTATTCTCAAAAATCTGAGTTTTTGGGTATTTTACTGTTTAACTTTTTTGAGAATACTAAAAGTAGTATTCCCAAAACTGAAACAAACGCAGCCTAAGGTTCGAAAAGAACAAGACACGCAAGTAAGAAACTAATAATTAACGTCATTTCTTCGAGGTCCTCACGATTTGAATATCATAGGGCGTGTGTTTAGTTTATTATTTTGAATAAGATTTTGGAGATAATATTAGGTTGTTGGATAGGAAAGTATTATGAGATAAATTTTAAAAATTTATAAAAAAACTCCTTAGGTTTACTAATTTAATTAAAGACTATAATATATAAAATGACAAAAACACCCCTACCACCTGCAGTGCCAGATTCCGGCCACCACCACTGGAATCTGGTCAGAAAATTTCGTTATGACACAGATCGATCGAATTTGTGCCGTAACGCATCGTTATGGCCTTTTTCGACCAGATCTACCATGAATCTAGTCAGATCTATGAACTGTTGTGGCTGCAACGGTCAGAAAAGGTTGAAACTACGGTCATTTTTGGCCGTCGTTGTCTGTCAAAGACAGTAGATCTGACCATTACCAGCTATTTTTGATGGCTGTGTGACTATTGTGATAGATTCCAGCTACCATCGACGATGGTTGCTGGAATCTAACAGGTATTGGTGGGTAGGGGTATTTTTGTTAGTTTTTAAACTTTTTTCTTAAAGATATTTAATAAAATTAATAAACTTATAGGGTCTTAAATAATTAAAAAGAAAAAGACTAACGTGCCTAACAACATTTAAAAAATAGGATTGGGAAGATGGATAAAAACAATAAACCAACGCACCCATAATTCTCTTGACGTTTCTATCCGTCAGTACTCACTGGACATTTTACAAGTCAGTCAATAGTTTATGATGATCATCTAAACTCTAAATCCATCCATATAAGAATAAGAGAAAGAGAGATACTAGTTTTGGCAAGTATGCTTTTGATGACACTCTGTGTTCTGATTATATCATTGATCTGGGGTCTAAAATTCTTGAACAAGATATGGTGGAGACCTAAGAGGATAGAGAAGCAACTAAAGAAGCAAGGGATCCATGGATATCCATACGGGTTGTTGCATGGTAACACCAAGGAGATGATGAAGCTAGCATAGGAAAATCGGTCTAACCCTATTGTATCAAACCATGATATTATGCCTCGCGTCAATCCCTTACTTCACGAGCTGGCCATCTCCTACAGTAAGTGCTTGCTTTATTTGATGTTCTTCCTGAAAACTAAACAAACTAATCAATGATTCATTAAATTATCTTTCGAATTTAGCGTTCACTAAATTTGTACAAATTCAAATCTACCGTTCATTTGATTATCCTCTGAAGTTGGAATTTTTTAACTTAAAATTATCCTTACTAAAGGTTTCTGGGTTATAATTCCATGTAGTATTAAGGTTGAGAAAATAATTGACTAATAAAAAACTATGTATGGATAAGATGCAGAGAAGACATTCGTGGTTTGGTATGGAACAACTCCTCGTGTGGCAATCATGGATCCTAAGTTGATAAAAGAAGTATTCTCAAACAAATCTGGTAATTTCCCCAAGCCAGAAATAAGTCTGTTGACTAAGTTGTTTGCCACGGGCCTTGCAACTTATGAGGGTCATAAATGGTCCAAACATAGAAAGATTATCAACCCTGCCTTCCATATAGAAAAGTTAAAGGTTCTTACTCTTAACCTCTTAATTTATCTTTCTACTTCTTAAATATTGATTCTGATTCCCATTTGGTGCTATTATTAGCAAATGTTGCCTGCATTCTCTACCTGTTGTGAAGAACTGATAGAGAAATGGGACAACTTAGTAACTGGGTTGGGAGGTTCTTGTGAATTGGATGTGTCTATAGAGTTTCAGAACTTTACTGGAGATGTTATATCAAGAGCAGCTTTCGGTAGCAGTTTCGAAGAGGGGAGATTGATATTCTTACTCCAAAAGGAACAAGGGAAACTCTTTTTACAGTCTCTGGCTTACGATAAATTCCCACTGTTTAGGTGCACTCTATCTCTCTCTTCTCACAGGTTCAGTTGAGCATTAAGCTTGTTTTGGCTTTGTGGACAGCTTTCATTAGCAATGTTTTTGTCCTCAATTTTACTTGTATAGGTTTCTTCCCACGAAAGTGAACAGAAGAATGAGACAAATCTATAGAGAAGTTCGAACCATATTAAGAGGTATAATAGAGAAAAGAGAGAAAGCTATACTGATGGGAAACACTAGTGACAAAGAGGATTTGCTTGACCTATTGTTAAAGTCTAATCTCAATGAGCTTCAAGAGAACCAGAACTCAAATGCCGGTATGACAACAGAGGACGTTTTTGAAGAATGCAGACTATTTTACTTTGCTGGTCAGGAGACCACAGCCAATTTGCTAACATGGACTATGATCGTGTTGAGCATGCATATCAATTGGCAAGAGCGAGCCAGAGAAGAGGTCCTACAAATTCTAGGGAAAAACAAACCAACTTTTGATGACTTGAACCACTTGAAGATTGTAAGTAGTGCTTATTTTCTGAAAGTTTATTATTCATCCTGCAATTTTTGTTGATGATTAATTGTTCTTGTTATTTGTAAGGTGAATATGATCCTGCATGAGGTTCTCAGGTTATACCCACCAACTTCACTTCTCCGAAGCATAGTCAAAGAGACCAAACTAGGAGATTTCTGTTTACCGGCAGGAATTGAATTGTTTATGCCAATGCACCTTGTCCATAGGGATCCTGAACAATGGGGAGAAGATGCAACGGAATTCAACCCACAAAGATTTTCTGAAGGTATGTCCAAGGCGTCCAAGGATCAAGTCTCATACTTTCCTTTCGGTTATGGACCAAGAATATGCATTGGGCAAAACTTTGCAATGCTTGAAGCTAAACTGGCATTATCTCAGATCTTGCAACACTTCTCATTTGAGCTGTCGCCTACCTATACTCACGCTCCTTCTATTGTTCTAACACTTCAACCCCAGTATGGCGCTCAGATCATCATGCATAAACTTTAAGGAAAAGTCTTTATCACCATTCAAGAAGGTGGCCACCCCTTACATTTCTTTATATTAATCATCATCAGTGCTTCAACATATCTGTACTTTTGACTATATTATATCCTATTCCTATATGCTTCATGCAAACCCACCTAATCCAAAATCGCTCGTTCCACGCTATAGCTATTATATCATATTAGAGACAAGAAAGCACAGGTAATCTAGTAATAAAACGGAAGACTTAAGAAACTACTATATTAACAAGTTGGCCTTATGGAGTACTCAATAATCGTTTAAACTAAGTGTTTACTGTTGCGTACAGATACCATGAAATAAAAGAAAACCTATTAATTAGCATCTTAATTTCACTCATCAATCATCATGGAAGCTAAATTGTTATTTTCACTGAGATTTTAATGCAGTAGATGGCACTTGGTTTGTTCTGAGCAATTTAACTCGCAAACTATTTCAAAGACAAGAAGGGCCATTGCCACTGCATTATAGTTAGCACTTAGCAGTTAGCTCATGGCAAGCATTTGAATTTCCATAAGCACTTTATCAATCGGAAAAGGAAATGAGTTTGTTAAGGATTCTCCATGGAAGAAAGAAAATGTAATAAGGGAAAAAGAAAATAGGGTAAAAGCCACCCAGCATACAAAAGCTCTGTCTTTACCATTGCCAGAAATATTGGGGATTAGAACGCAAAAATAATCTCTCACAAAACTCCGGGGGTGGTTAGAAAAATATAGTGAGGCTCGCTTCTTTCCATTAAAATGGCGGCCAAATGTGAATATATCCCATTTACACTCAATGAAAATAACATAAAAATTTTCCAACTTCAGAACTAAGAAAGCATATAACAACAGTCTAGGCATATTTTCCCACGTAATTTCCAAAAGTGGTCTGTTATCCCAGCAATCTGCTCTGGCCACAACTTGAGAACAGTAACATTGATCTCAATCTGCTAAATCCAAAGTTCACCCAAAGTTTCTTCTAAGTTCCAAGTGAACTTTCTATGAGTATGAACTTGAAACCAATAGGCAAGGTTGCTGCAGGCACCTAAATAAATGAGCTCCACTTCCACTTGGATAACAAAATTAGTGTTCCTCTCTATATTCTGGGTTTTCTTTTAAGATGACATAGCCCTCAAGAATTGGCGAAAGGGGGATATATCTGCACAAAACCAAACTGTCAGTCTGCAAACCAGTAATAAAAGGTTGAACAAGTAAAAAGAGGGAAACACCAAAAAAAAAAAAAAAAAAAAAAAAAAAAAAAACACTGACTTTTCAGTAGCCAACTCCGCTCTATCACCAGCAGCAAGAAGCACAGGTGTTGAGTGGGTCTGGAAACCAGTGATGGTCTTGGGTCGACCAGCCTGGCCAACAACATCGACTGCTTGTCCCACCCGGACAGGTACAGATAAAGGTTTGAGATGCTCATCCACAGTCATTAACATTCTTGGCTGTCACTCAGAAAAAGAAACAGAAATGAGAATTTACAATGAAAAATAGAAATCAGAGTGCAGACAGAGTATAATGATTCAAGCAAACCTGCATTGCCAAAGCAAGGAAGTATAGAACATAATGATATTTCCCCACAATGATCGCTTTCATATCAAGACATGCAAACAGCATGATCACTATACCAGCCAACGAAGTCCTGTCCAGAGGAAAAATTCATATATTATTTCTTAAGTGACATAAAGCAAAAAGTTCCCAGATACCTCTTCACTTTACTTTTTAACCACTTACTCTGAAGGTATAGTTTGTCACAAAGAAGATTACTTACGGTGATAGCAAGAAGCGGTCTGAATGGTACGGATTGAGAGTTAATAGACCCTTTCCCAAATGTACTAGACCTTGAGCAATTCGGACCTGCAAAAGGTGCATACAGAAATTAATCAATCTCTAACAGGTCCCACAGAAATAAGAAAATTGTAACACATAAATTAACAGAAGATTACACAGAATAGAAGGTTGGCATCTTTGTAGTAGTAGCTTGAGAGATTGCGAAGCATGCCAGCTATTCGAGCATTGTTGGTTCCTGCACCAATCAAACCTAAGGAGATAACTGCTGCCTGTAACATTAAAACAATTCAATTTAGTAACTACAGCCTGTAACATTAAACAACTGGATTTAGTCTAGAGGGTAGTATGCAATAACTACAACTAGCTTAACAAATAGATAGTAGCATATGAAATAACTACAGCTATAGATATGATGTGGATTTTTATTTTATATTTTTTAAGATGAGAACCGAAGAAACATGAAGTTGATAATAAACAAATCCTACCATTGCTACTTCTGAATCAGTGTCGTGGCTGAGCCTGCTCAAGGTGTCCATAACATTAACCTGGGAAAAATCCAACAAAGAAACTAGTGAACAAGTCAAAAACATGGAAAGAGGCTTGTCAACAGGCTACAAGATCGTCACTTTGATTACTCGGCAACTAAATTTTTTAGCAATGGGTCTATAGTTTTCTTGTGTGTCAAGGAAGTCCATTCTTAGTAGAATGGGTTGACATGAAAACCACAACGCACTTCTTCTTGATTTCAAGAGTTCCTATCAAACATTAAGTTGATAGCATGTCTTACTTCCTTATCAAGACCTAGTGCATGCATAGCAACACTTAATATTAAGTGAATTTCACATTTGCAAACTTCATCCCCTGACAAAGACAAAACTCGACTAGAGCTTTATACCACAATTAACTATTGCAACCTAGACCTAATGAAATTAACTACCTTTGGGTTTGATATACAGAGGAGACCAAGTGCCAATGGAACTGCCCGACGAATATTCTGCTCTCCATACTGCAAAAGGTGCTCCAATGATCGAATTGCCATCTCAACACCCAATTCTTCAGCCATAGCTACCATAGCTATTCCAAGAACAGCAGGTCCCTGGTGGGTTTCACCCTTCTCAAGATGTTGGGCACAATGACCCAGAAGGTTTTGAACCTACATAAAGAAAGAGTTAGCCACTCACTGTACATAACATCACTTTAAAAGGAAATTGAAGGGCCTCGATAAGAACCTTGAGGACATTTCCAGTTCCAGCATAGGCACAAGAAAGAAGTGTCATATCACAATACTTTCTTATCTTATCATTGAATGTCTTTGAGACTTCAGCTGTTGCCTCCACACTTTCCTGTTGTACATCAAAAAAGGATTCAAAATCAGTCATAAAGTATACAATAACCGTAGAGCTCCATATTCTCACAATTAACAATATTTTTGCTGAAAGAGAATACCAAAAGCCACATAGAGTATCAAAAGAAAATTTCAGGATAATGAGAAAATAACGGAATCCCACAGAAAGCACCAGCAGTTGTGATTTACCTGCTTCCCCAGGTAAAGAAGACCGAGACCAAGAGGTAAAAACCGAGTGAGGGGTTCCCCTAATTCTGATTCACTTCGGTCCATCAAAGCAAATATAATAGCCTGAGCGACCTCTTCATTACAGGAACCCACATATATCAAACCCAAAGAGATGGCACTGAAAGCAATCACATCAAGGGGCGCTTTTGCATCATTAAGTATGGCAGTTAGCTTACTCCTTATCTGTCCAAGTTATCATAGGTTAGTTTTCTGGAACAAATAAACCACACATCAAAGAGAAACCACAGTTTCAGAAAACTCAAACCAGTTTGAACGATCAAAAATTTCAGTGACAAGAAATAATCTTTCACCAATAGGTTGGAGCTACATAAGAATTTAACACAATCATTCTTGAGCCTAGCATTATAGAAAAGTAAGCCCATGTCCACTAGAAAGAATATAGTCGCCACAGCCTACCAGAATTTACTAGAACTGCGAAATATCTCACCTGATCATTCTGAGTACCAGCATATGCAATTCCCAGGCCCATTATTGCACCGATTCGGACTGATGGATCTTCTTTGTTAACATAGTCGTCTAAAAGTGCCAATGCCTGAAAAAAAAAGAGATTGTACAAGATAAACACTTCAGAAGTCTTACTAATTGTTCTGAACACCAAGTCAAAAAAATTAAAACCATAAAACAGAATTCAGCTTACTCACAGGATCACAATCATTTCTAACACCACAGTTGATAATGCCAACCCCCAGCAATGCTCCAGCAATTACATGATTGTCAGTGCTGTGGAAATACTTATCAATTTGGGCAAGCCCAGAATCGACATCCCACAGTAAAATCATGCCCTATAACAAGGAACGCCAATGAGCATCTTATATAAAAGTATCATAATAACAATAAGCATGGTACTGAAAGGTCTATATACCAGACTTGCTGCAGCACTCATCTTCCCATGCTCCTTATTTTTAAAAAGCCAGTTTGCTGATGCACCACTTGAAGCATCTGATGGGACAGTCATTAATTTATCCTGCAACAAATAAGATAATTATTACTATAATAATAACAATAACAATAAATATCAATAAAATGCACAACACTCCACTATTGTGCATAAATAAATTTCACATGCAGTACCTGACCAAAGCCCGCATTTACAAATGCATTCACAAATGTCGCAGCCAAGTTCTGCCTGGCTGAATCAACACTTGCACCAGCACTAGCCCTGCCATCAAGCAAGTGTGCCTAACAGAAACCCAGCAATAAAATTATCAAATAGTTCAAGAGAATCACTTTAAATGAAATACATCAACTCTAGTAATTTAAGGTTCATATGAGGTATAACTTGGCTGTGCTAATGTAAAATTTACTAAACAAAAATGTCCACACAATTAATCATTCAAACTTTCTGTTTTACCTATAGGGAAAATATAAGCAAGGAGATCATATCAGTTTATGCACTATTTTGGTCATAACTTCTGAAACAGAAGAGGGTATCAGGATTATCATATCTGCCTCTGACAAGAGGCACTGAGCATGCTAAGATAGTCATGAAACAGCAAGTAGGAATTATACTGATCTTTTAAGAAGATACAATCACTTCACCATTAATGCAAAACAAGGGAACTAAGATAGGAGCGAAAACTGGAGATCAGCAATACCACAAAGAAGCAATATGTATACAAACTTTAATTATGTCACCTAACAAAATGCTACCACATATAATGTAATAAGACTGTCAGCAACAGCTAATAAATCCAGCTTAAAACTGTCATGAATTGAATAACTAGACAAACGTTACAAAAGTTGCAGATATTAATCACCTCGAGACCACCAACTTACGATTCTATCTACCTATTTCCTTACTACTAAGGTTTTACCATCCAACAATAGTCCCCAAAGTAGAAAAACACAAACGTAAAAAGAAAGGTTGAGGATGCCCTAGGTATAAAAAAATATAGATTAAAATCATTTTTGTATGTATCAAGAGTCACATCTACTTTCAAACCTTGTAAATATCTTCAGGAGATTTGGGCTCCATAACCTCAATATCACGTGCAAGGGTGAGATAGCCTTCACTAAATCTGATGTTGTTGATAATATCCTGCAGTACATATCGATCATCGTCATCGGCAACCATATCATCATCAAGCTCAAATGAGACACCCTGCATGAAACAAGTGACAGTAAGCAAATGAAAGCAATCATTAGATTCGAAGTCCAATCTCAATTAACAAACAAAACAAACACTACACAGCAATTTTCGAATATTTAACGGAACCATCTCAGTGATTTATTTCCACACAAATAACATTAAACTACAAGACCTCACACTCAACTCAAGGATGAAAAGATAATACAAGTAAGGATATATTGTAACGTAATAATCATCCATAAAAATTTAATCTGCAACCCTAAACCGGCTTCATGAATTTGGTTGCAGTATGAAACAACCAGATGAATATGCACATATGCAAGCCTAGCCACTCCTAGGGAATAACTGATTCAGAAAGAATTAAACGTCACAATCCTAAATAAAAGATAATTCGAATATAGAGAAAATTCAAGATTGCAAGACTTACATGACGAGCAAGGATGTAACAAAATTGCTTCTTCCGCAGCAGATCGTCGCATGATGTAAAGATCTGCTTCACATACTGCCAAGACATAACAAAGTCAGAAGAATGTCACAAAGATCATACATTTCATCTCTTTCTCCAAGCAGATACGAATTCAGAAATGGGAATCACTAAATCCAGGGCACAAACATTTCTGGGAGTTAGAATGCAAAGTAACAACTTCAGAATTTAGCTTTTACAAATTCATATACAAACCTGCAGGTTATCAAGGAACAGCGCGATCTGAAGTGCATTCGGATATTCCTCAAATTTCAGATAGATCATGTATGCAATATCCAGAACTAACATGTCATCTGGTCCAGGTAGGTATCTGCAATACATTGCCTCATAAAATGTTAACATCAAAGATCGTGGGCAGGAAGGAGAGGGTGTGGAAGGGAGAGAGCAGACAAGCTACTAATATAAGCAAACCGCAATTTATTCACTGAAAATATTAAAAAGAAAAGAAAAGAAAAAAATTCAGCCAGACTCTTAAAGAGAGAAAGCCATATGTAAAAAATATCTTAGGCTGTGTTTGTTTGAGTAATTAGAATAGTATTTTTGCAAAAGTTGAGTTGAATAGAATAGGGTTGCATTTTGAGAATATTAAAACAAATGCATTTTTCATTTTTTTGGATAGGATAGTACGATAAGATAGGGTTTGAATAATACCCCAAACACAGCCTTTATTTTTTTTCATGACTGTTAACAAAAGTGTGCTGATGCTTCATCATAAAATAAGTAATAGATGACTAAATATCATAATTAACATGAATGACAAAAGGGATCACAAGAAAAACTTGCAAGAATTAGAGAGCTAGAGTCTTTTTCTTTTATTTTTTTCTCTACATTTCTTTTATTTTTTATTTTTTCTCGTATTCTCTTTCTCTGGTTTGAACCTTAGAATTCTTAAAAAGATGATACCAAAGAATTTATTCACCCAAAATCTTACCTTGCTGCACTGGTGAGGTATAGACAAGTCCTCTTGAAATTTGTAGAGTCCACATGCTCAACCAACAGATCAAGGTCTTCAACCTGGATTTGTTAATGCAATGCATATTCTGAATTCATCTAACAAAATAAATTAAGACAAAAAATGGGGAACAAAGATTATGTAATTGCACAATACCTCCATCAACAGATCGACAGCCTCAGGTTCAGCATTGTGCTGCAGGGCAATAGCGCATTATTAAAAGCAATATCAAACAAATTGCTTTCAGATGACGTCTACACCTAAATTGTAGATTGGTTTCTGAACGTTTTTGTTATCATGAAAGATTGTATTTAGCTTCAAAATTGTTCGATTGAAGGGAACCCATGCAAAACTTGGAAGTAAAGTCATACCTTCATGTGAAAAGCAACAATTTCTTGTACAAGTTCCATTAAATCATCAATTGGTGCCTCATCACTCTGTGATTGCAAATAAAATGAAGAAATTAATTAATTAATTAAAGGAAAATACAATCAGAATTTTTAATATAACATAATTAAAAGTTATCAAAATCCAAAATGGAAGAATCATTTAGCACTAACTTCTTGAGTGAAGAATCTATGGTAGCAGGTGCATCAACCATCAAAGATATCAAAAACATAAAAACAAGACAATGCATCTGTATGCCAATTAAGAATGAAGACATAAATTACTTGATATAAAATGATGCCGTAAATTTCAAACAATGTCCACTCAACATGCATATTTTAAAACTTAAAAACTTAGAGAGATACAGAACTTTAAGAAGTATTCCAGATGCTTGAACTACATCTTTAAGACTTTAAACAGAATTAAAAAATGAGAATGCAGTACTAACCTGTCGCTTTGTATACTCTTGTGCAATTTCTCCGGCCAAGTTCCTGATTTAAAAAAGTCAATAACAGTGAGAAAAAAATGATTCACATTTATCTTAAGTTGTGTGGTAATGGGAGTGCAACCAAATAATAAACAAAAATGCATGTCCAAATCTTAAGCAACAATCAACCAGCCTCACAAGTGCTTTGCCACAAAAAAAAAATAAATAAATAAATAAATAAATATATATATATATGGGAGACCTATGGACTATCTAACAACATCAAGAGTACAGCATGCTGTTTGGAAAAATGCCTAGACAACCTATTCCATTAAATTGTTGCTCATTCTACAAAAATGTTACCAAATCTATAACACCATAAAAACAATACGCCAAATTTCAGTATCACACTATACTGAACGACTAGAGGCATTGGATATGTGCCTCTAATGGTGAAAAGTGTCAGTCTTGCAAAAGATATTATGATATTTTTTTATAGGAGCAAAAGATAATTATGATACAACAAGCATTTATAAAAAACAACATTCCACTTAATACAAGTATAGAGAAACATGCATCATGGGGTTCACAATTCCAGCAACATCCTAGTTGAGTGATAAAATCTAAAATTCACCACCCAGTAAAAGAACTATTATCACAGTTTTACAGCCTGCTACTATCCACCAAGAAAATCAGCATCAGAAAGATCTCAAACATACAAGTCTCATCAGAGGCAGAGGGAGGGGGGGTCAAGGAGGGTCAGTTGACCCTCCTTGACTTTGAAAAATTATCAAAATTCAAATATACATATACGAAATTAACTTTTAAATTTATCAAATATATCAAATTAAATTCTTAGTTTTTACAAAAAAATCCCACAAATACATTTAAGAAATTATATAATGAATTATATATATATTATTTAATTGTACAAAGAACAAAATGAAGTTTGTATATCTTTTCATATATTTTATAAAATATATATCATTTCTAAAATTTGTTTATCAATTTAAATTACTGTCAATTGTTTTGTGTATATATATATGGTTAGCTTACAACCCACCATTACGGCCCCCCACTTAAATTGCGGATGCTCAAATGGAGAATCGAACCTAAGACCGTGTGTCTATCCACACTATCCCCAATTCATTCTAAGCATCTAGACTACCCAAAGATGGGTCATATCAAAATATTAAAGTTAGAAAAAAAATATATATATAAATATCAAAAATATGTATTTTGATGCATTATTTTAAGGGGTCGAAACATAAAAGTGAAATTACAACAAAAGTTATAATATCTTACGATAAAAGCTAGATAAATCTTTAAATATTTTATTAGTAGATATGTTATTATAGTTTAATTTGGAGATGTTGTTATTTGTGTTAGCTTAATAACTTGTTCATTAGTAAATTTTCTTGGTTTTGTTTTACACTCGTTAAAGTACTATAAATTTATTCCATATCGTCAAACACAATCATAAATATATTAATCATAAAGACCATTATAAATAAATACTCATATTTTTGTATAACTTATACCCAATATATTATTTATTATAAGTTTATTTACAATTGTATTATTAAGTTTAATTAACGACTTGACCCCCCTAGAATAAGTTTTTGGCTACGCCCCTGAGTCTCATGTGGAAACACAATAAATGTAACATTCTAACCACAAACAAACCAACATTGAGAACCAAGACAACAATCCAAAGCATTAACAAAGTTTGAAAAGATATAGCCACTGATAATAGCAAGATATCTCTCATCAAGAAAAGATGACAGCATGATACTCCAACACAATACTCGATTCTGAAAACAATGTTCTCAAACCAGATGACTCTCACCTGACATATTCATGGCCCCATGAACCAATATCACCTTCTGAACCCAACAATCTGTACTTTAAGCTCTCCTGAAGAGTTTTCAAATGAAAAGTATTTATCAGATGATAATATATGACGAGACATTGACTCATGGAAATCACTGCAAAACATATAAATTGCATACCAACTAAACATGCAAAACCAATGTTATGCATGAGGATCACAATTACAAAATAAAATGAGAACCACCAAATTGGGAGATCAAAGAGAAGATGCAAATTTCTCTATGTCCCATGCATAATTAACCCAAAAAGAAATAGCCAACATAATATAAGTTAAATTTCAAAAGAATGAGTCATACCCGTTCTCCCTCAGCAGACATGGTCAGGGCCAAAACAGAAAGTATATCTGCCAGGTATTTCTGCATTTAAGATAAAGTAATTCACATAAACTGTAACAAATTGAACCATAAACAAATAATAATAAGTTCAATCAGAGAAATTATACCTTCAGGTCTGAATCCCCCATTGTTTCGTAGTATGCTTTTAGAGTTCCATAATGTGGACGAAGAAACTTCAATGGCTTTGGAACTGAAGTCATGGAGCTAGTTGAGGTTCGAATTTCCTGCCTGTAAGAAAATAATTCACCATCAACCACAAGTATAAGATATCTTCTCGATCCAAAAATATTTCTACACAAACTTAACCCCAAAACCATCCCCTGATGCCACCTGTATAAACAATAACTAGCAACAGCTAATCTGTTGATATAAAATCACTTGAACCACAAACAAGAATATTCTGCTGTAATAATCTGATGAGCACACCTGGAATGCTATATAATCTTCTCTATTAACATTAATTAACTAAAATTCAAAGTAAGCTCAGTGGTAAAGGATTAATAGAGTAAATGACTAACAAAAACATTTAAACGTCAAGTACAATTCAAATTAATGACATCCATTATAAGCATGGGTGTTCATGCTCTGCTGACAATACCACTAGAAATTAGAAATTGAGAAATCACAAATTACCTCATACTCTCAAGGGCTACCTTCTGCAACCCGGGATCAGGATCCTGAACCCTTTCTACATACAACTCCAGCTGCTGCTTCAGAGCCAAATCCTCCTCCGACTGCATATACAATTCATACATATCAGATGAAATGAATCCCACAATCCACCCATATTAAAATAACGCATTCCTCCTCAAATAAATAGGGTGATTTTGTATTATCAGAACCCCAAACAACATAAAAATGTACTCACTGTACACAATAAATTCTCATTTTTCTTATACTGCAATCATACAGCTTAAACCACGTAACCTATTATTAAATTAATAAACAAACCCTAAACCTAGCATACAACCACTTCACTTAATCAATACGAGCTCATAAAATAAAAGCAACACCAACACAACACACGAAGATAAATTTCAAAAGATCAACAAAATTGGAAATTCCGAAATCCCCGACTATTTTCAGTGACCAAGCATGATATTACCCAAGCATTAAAAAATATATTACATTGCTACAGAAACCAAACAGAGAGTAAACAAGAAGAACACTCACCAGATCCTCGTCCTTCTTCTCGTCCTTCTTCTTTGGATCCTTGGCCGGGACCTTGACGGAAGTCTCATCTCTTGTTCCGCTGCCGCTGGCGCTGTTTGGATCCGGTGCCATGCTTAGATTAAACTAAACCCTAGAAATTTAGTTTACTAAAAACCCTAGATTACGGTAACCAGAATGTTTGAAAGCAGGATTAGTTTTGTCGAAATTTTAATGGAAGTGAAATAGCGATGAAGATAAAATGATAGTAACGAAGGAATTTAATTTCCTGAAACACAAGCAAGGTGCAGCTTGTCTATTCTCTCTCAACTCAGCTGCCAAAAAGTTCAAGGGGTGGGTTTTGAAGCTTATAAGTGTTGACCCCTCCTTCAAGAAAACCCGAAGTCCGGCTTGAGTCTCCAAAGTCAGGTCATGGGCCTAAGGCCCAAGTTTTGGACAAATATAATATGCAAGGCCCAAATGATCATGCTTTAATTGATTTCTTTTACTGTTTGTGTTTGATCCGCGATTATGTTTTCTCCCTTCTGGTTGTGGTTAAATATATAAATATGAAAATAATTAATTATAAATGAATTCATTGGCATAGAATACAACCTAAAATTTACTGAGTTTATGAAAATGCCAAACTTAATTGTCTTAATATATTGATGAAATAAATTTATAATATTAGTGATTCTTTCATAAGTTTTGAAGGAGATTAAGAGTTATAATTATGATATACGAATTTAACAAGAGAGTTTTAGAAATATTCATAATTGATGAGGTTTTCAAAGAGATTAAGAGTGTAATCAAATTATAAATTTAAGTCATGCTTAAATCAATATGGAATCTTTAATGATTCTTTGTTTTCAGAAATGTTTAATTACAACAAAAAATGGTATTGATTTATGATGTTAAATTTGAAATTAAATAATCAATTTAAATTTAAATTGATATAAAAAATCTAAATCAAGTGTTAGTAGTACTATAGATCAGATTCTAAACTAGTTGTTGAATTAAGTTACTCTTAAACATGCGGAGTTTGGGGTATTACATTGACGAAACATTAAGCTTAGCTAATTAATTTTAGTGAAGTCATGGGAAATAGGATTAACGTCATAAAAGAAAATCACAACTGTTTAAGTACATTATTAACTACATACATTTTATCGAATTTTTATTGTTTATTGTTTAAAAGAAAGGTAAAATTCCTATAGTATCGATTCAACAACTGGACAGTACGGTTAAAAACATTACTGTTGATAGCAAAACTCTTAACGCTAGTGACTGTTCTGTGATAGTCATTACATTCAATATATGTTAAAACTAGTAATTGTAAATTTGTATGAAAAGAGTAAGAATTAGACTGCTGATTGTCTTACACTGTCAATCTTTTTCGATATAGGATAGTTTCAGCTTTGATGTTGTCCAATGGTATATTCTCCTATTCATATCTCTGTCTCATGGGACTTTATTTTACTACAGTTTAGTGATTTGGTGCCTTGTTTATAAACCATAGAGACCCTGTAAAAGGTTTTCCTGCAAGAGTGCAAAACTATTCTTCTCTTTGATTTGTAAAGCATATAAAATTATGCAAATACAAATGAAACTACAAACCAAAATAAAAAAGGAAACATGTCGTAACTTAAGTTTTGTTTTTCATTTTTACTCTTTTTTCTTTCTTTTTTTTTTCCACTCAAGGCACATAATTCTCCGGGTTCACTTGATATCCCCCCGGCTGGTTCTCGTACTCTTCCATGGTGTTGAACTCATAGGTGCTCTGTGTGTTTCCATAAGATCCCTCATTCTTAACAACACCAATCTGTCTCTCTGATTCATATGTGGCAGGGTAATTATTTTCATTCTTCACATTATAGTAGTACTTTCCGTTCTCAAGAAATCTCGTGTCACTCATCCCTTGCTTCTCATTCTCATACCCGTTGGTGTTGTAGTTGCTGGAATAGCCATTGTTGTTGTAGCCTGTGTTACCAGTATGGCCATTGTTATTGTAGTTGCTGGTGTAGACGTTGTTGTTGTTGTTGGTGTACCGGTTGTTGTTGTTGTTGTAGTTTTGCATAAGTCTGGTATCGCTCAGCCCTTGCTTCTCAGTCTCATAGCCATTGGGGTTGTAACTGTTGGAGTAACCATTGTTGTTGTAGTTGACAGTGGTGTAGCCTGTATTGCCATAGCCATTGCTTTTGTAGTTGCTGGTGTAGAGATTATTGTTGTAGTTGCTATTTTGATTGCCTGTCTCATAGTTTTCAGCAGCACTGAGTTGTTCATTCAGAAGATCGGTTTCCTCAGTAATAGAAGTCTCAGTCCCTTTTGTAGGAGGAAACTGATTAGACCCAACCTTACCATAAAGGCCATAGCCACTTTCTCTCTCGGCATAAAATAACGTTGGTGCCAATGCTGGTGCTGGTGCTGGTACTGACACTTCAAATTCCGCTGGCGCTGGTGCTGGGGCAGGTGTAGGTGTAGGTGCAGAAATTTCGGACTCGGGGACCTTGTTGTTGGTACTAAAGTGAGTGAACTTGTTAAAAAATTTACTCTCTCTGGCTTGAATTTGAAGAGGAGAGAAGAGGACTAGTACTAGGAGAAAGAATAAAGAAAGGGATTTCGCGAAGTACTCCATTAAGAGAAATGTTGTGTACTGGTAGTGATAACATTTGTTCCCAGATTGTTTTTATAGAAACTCTAGGGGTGTTGATGTCCCCGGATAATTATGGCGTAGATCAAGGGGTGTGGGGTAGAAATTATAACGACTTGGAGCATGCTGCATGTGCTTTCCATGAGAATGTCTAATAGGGGAGGCACCTAATAATCTTTACTTCTTTTTAGTCCAAAAACGAGCTAAATTAAAGTCTTCAGTCAAAAGGTGTCATTTTCTTTTTATAAAACTAGGAGAACATACATCCGTTTTCCTTGCTTTAGAGGCAATGTGGGATCAAATTTAATTAGGAGGTCCACCCTCACTCCTAATTTGCGGTTGAGCTCGTTACGCAACTAAAGAAGGTGGGAGGCCACACACCATTATTGCTTTGGCCAATTGGCCTGCAGTAGTAAATTATGGCTTTATCTTCCCTCAGAGCCCCGAGAGAATCCTTGAATGTTTTACCTGATAAATAAAGTATTCACCCCACCCGCGTGTCTTTTTTTTCAATTAATGATTCAAGTAAAACAATTTACCTGGAGAATGAAAGATGACTGCACTGGAACTTTCTCCTACTCATGCATGTGAGAGATGAAGAGACGTTTTGTCTATTGGAATCTTATTAAATTAAATTGATCTAACTTGTACTTCATTTATGATATTTGAGCTCACTGGAGCAGTTGAGAGAACCTAAATGTGTATATTTTGAGCACAGTTTCAGTACCCTTTCTCTTCTTTGTTTTAGATAGCTCATCAAAGTTCAAGCTGACTGCTTATATAATCCATCTCTGCACAACTAAACTGTATAGCTTCATACAAGAATTTTGCTTCCAGAATATGTGTTATTATCGAAAGAAATGTGATTGATAATTTCATACTAAAGCTACTCTCCTTATCCATTCAAATTAATCCAATTATATTATCAGCCCGCTAATCCGGATTCCATAACAAATCCCTTTAAACAAAAACGTATTTATAAGATTAGTAGGACATGTGGGGGGCCAAAGTGTGTTTTATATTATAGGAAAAGAAATTATTAGTTTAAGTAATGTTGAAGGAAAATTGGGGGGTGGGGTGTGGCGTGATGATCGGAAGGTGGGTGAAGGCATTGACTTCAGATTGGAAGTCTGCTCCAGAAAAACACAAGACAAGTTTGATTTCAACAATGTGAGACATTAATAAATTATTGTGTACAAGTACGGTAATGGGCTGACTTGTCGAACTGGATAATTAATCAACAGATTTCCATTGGGCCCATTGCACCTCCCATTTGATCCCACGTACTTATATCTACATTCTTTAAACAAATAGTTATACTGTTCTTAAGCCAACCATTCAAAATGTTTTTCAGTATTTTAGATAAAATATCCTCTTGTGATCAAGCCTAATAATATTTCTATCATAAAAAAAAAAAAAAATAATAATCCTAAAATTATTTTCAAACATAATCCGCAAGGTCTTGTTCATAATAGCCCATCAAGGGTGTTAAGCAACCAACCCATATCGAATTAGCAGTATAGGCCAGATCCATGAACAAAAACAATATAAGTAGCCCATATCAAATTTTTATAACAAAATATTAATGACAAACTTTTACCAAATAAAACTACATCTGAACAAAGTGAGTTGCGGATTACTTTTGCGACTTTGTTAACATGTCGGTGTCAGGGCTCGGCCACGTCAGCTTCGATTACCTCAACGTTGGATTTTACGGTACTTCCATGCAGTAGTGAGCCCCTTTCGCGTCCAAAGATGTTGTGTGGTTACCCTTTTCTTTACTCTTATTTCAAAAATCCCATTCTCGTGATTCTTGTTATATTATTGGGCTTTATGGTGGGCCTTTCCACACCTAATCAGGCACATCTGATCTGACAGCACCGTTGACCCAAACGTCTCACTGCTCTGTGGTCCATAGTCCACACGTGGCCGCTACAGATTCGTCCCAAAATAGATCATGCCGGGGACCATCACTCATCTTCTTTTCTATTCAGCTTCATTCTTTACATTTTATCTTCTCCACCTGCACGGCGTCAACCCAATCGCTCAACCTTTTTATTCATATATTATTATTAGCTTTTAATAAATGAAATTTTCATATAAAGTTACTCGATATAAACTTATTAGACTTTTCATTTGGCCGTTCAAAATTGTAATTGCTAACAATGTTGATAAATCTTTTCAGCCGATTTGACTCTACAAATTAAATATCAGATTTTAATTAAGAATACAAAAGATTTTGCTGTGGAACAATTTAATTAGAGATTTATTCCCTTAATTGTTTGAATTTGTTGAATGGTAGGACTGCACGTGCAAATTCTCACCAGACTTGCGTTTGTTTCATTTTATAGGGCTTTATATTGATACATGTATTCATGTGAATAAACTGAAAAATAATAATTTATTCAACAAGGCGACATTGAACTGTATGTTTTTATTGCTGTTCATATATTTAAAGGACTGATTGAAATCATAAATAACGTAGAGTTGGGGTAGAAACTGGGACTAAAACTCTCTATACAATTAATCTGGAGTTTTGATGTAATGCGAACATATATTAATCTAAGTAGCATCATCCAAAACCATGTCTTTATCACATTAATGGTATCATATATATAATATATGTGCACCCATACACCTACATATATATTCCTTAATTTTGAAACAAAAAAAAGGATCAGTGGTAAACTTCAAGAATTATATATGTTACTTTCAAAACAAATGAAAATGAGGATATTTACAGAACTTCACATGCATTTTTGTTTGTGTGTGGGCACGAGAGACAAGGACTGAGAGGAAGAGAGAGAGAGCTCGTGTGTTCTACTTCTACACATAGATATTAGTATTACTCCCTAAATTAGGATGGATGGAGACATATATTTTATACATCCTCAAGAAAATGAAAAATGCCTAATTCTTACTGTTTTTATCTCATATTCCAGATGAATATTATTGTTAATTTTCTAAGTTTTTATGGTCGACTGTGTTCCACAATAATTCATACAAAGGGAAAAAAAAAGAAGTAGAATAATTTTCATTACGGACATATGTAGTTGGCATTTATTTTTGTTTTGGTGTTCTTAAGTGTAAATAAGGTACCACTATTGAGTGATTTTATGATAAAAGAGCAAAAAAAGATTCTACAAACTTCTGAGTTTGAGTCTCGCAAGGTACTAATAAGGGTGGTCATTGAGACGCAATTCTAAAACCAGGAGAATGTAAATTTTGAATCAGAACTTATTGGGTAAAAAAACTGTCAAAAAATAAAAAATTTCAAACTCTTTTATGTTTAGCATTTATACCTACGATTGTTCATTAAGTTCACAAAACATGATTTTTTTTTTTTTTTTTCAGCAATCTTCAATTTCTTAGAGAATTTTATACTTTTGGTTCATGGAAATGAATTAATATATATAGTCCCTTTTCATTGACATTAGTAAGCAGTTTTATCAAAACACTAATAAATATATGTTTGGATCACATTCTTCAAAGAATGTAATTATATTGAGATACTCTACAAAAAATAATATACAATTGAGCTTACATTACTGATCAAATCAAACATTCCAAAATCATGAAGTTAATCATTTGATCAATATTTACAAATTTTAGTGTTATTAATTTTATGAAAGCAAAACGTAATTTCCCTTATCTAGGCTATATGCTATCTCACCTTCTCAATCAAATAAATAAGAAATTCTCAATTAGTAACTGTCAACTGTGGAAATGCATGAAAGTCCTCAAGGTATTATCATCTCATATTCTTAAAACTGTTACAAAACTATTAGCGTTAATATAACACATCGAGTGAGCAGCTTGCTAGAAAACAGGAGCAGCAGCACTGAATAGCTACAAAGAAAGGCGAAAAGTAAGAAGAAAGACTCGCAGATTAGATCATTTTTACATCAAAGGCAAGAAATGTCGTCGAATTTTTGGTTTTTGAGGGTCCTGATATCCACCAATTAATTGAACGAGCCCTTATAATAAGGGATGTTCCAGTAAACCTGCAAGGGCTGGGTCAAGCACAACTGGGTGGTATTTTTGGGACTCCTTGTCGTTGTAATTCCCCCATCACACCATCGAGAGATGGAGGTTTCAGGCCGAGAGGAAGTGGCAGCCATGGCTTTGATAAAACATCTCCAATAGCTGCATCTATGCTCTCTTTCGACTGTCATACAACAAAGATATCAACATTCTGTTTATTACTTCTTGGTAAATAAGTAACTTACGAAAACCGAAAAAAAAACTTACAGTAGTCGTTAAGAAGTGTGGTCCATCTACAATTAATTATTGTTTTAACACAAACAGTTTTGTCATGATTTAGCTCCCTTGAACGTACGTTTGTGTTCTTATTCCAGACTAAACATTCTATTATGCAGAATACAACTTATTTACTAATGCTTTCATTCAACCATTGAAATTGGATGAAACAAAGTTACTCTTATGTACTGAATGTTCAAAATCCTAACCTGGAAAATAAGAGAAGAACGAATATATGTATGCTAGATTCAAGAAAGAGAATACCCATTTAATTTCTTATAGAAAAAGGAAAGTAAATAAGAGTGAGATCCTCACCGGATGGAAATCGACGAGAGGGTTGGGGCCTGATGGTGCTGTCGGAACGCCGATTCCGGGGTCTACTTTATACATGGCATGATGGGATGGTGGGACGCCTGGAACCGGTAGTGTAGGAAATCCCTGCGTGCATTTCACATATACACGTACATGCATTAAGTTAACAGGAAATCTCTATAATTCGTCAAACATTAATTTAGCCAAAAAAATGGTATTGCATTTATACTATAATGAGAAACAAGATGCTAAAAATCCAATCGTAGGTTTATACGATATAATTGATTCCAAGTTTCCAACACAGAAAGAAACAAACGCCTTGAAAGACTACAAAAGAGTAAGCAGAAATTAGTTACCGTAGTTGCAAGTGGCTGTGGAAAGCAAGGCGTTCCTGGGGTTAGTCCGTTTGGAACCTATAACAAAAATGAAAAAAAAAAAGAAAGAGAAAATTGCATTTTTAGATATACAAAAAACTCGTTGTTTTTTTTCAATCTGTTCTCTAATTAACAGTTTGAAGGAAACGAGATATGCTTGATAAAGCAAAGAGAGAAGGCTCACTCGTTGGTGATGATGGCGGTGCCAATATGAAGGGTCAATATGAGGTGGAGGAGGGCGTGGCTGAGTCCATGATGGTGGAGGCGGCGGCGGTGGTGAATGGCCTACATGTTTAGGCCACATGTGCATTACAGATTGGTCCATGGTGGGATGACCCCACACGTGTAAGGGTCTAAACTGGTGGTGCATGGGAGTTATGGGAGGGAAACCTATTGTGGGTGTGGGTGCAAGCCAAGGGTTAATCTCTCTCTTTCCAACTCCAGCTGCGGCGGTTCCATACATTTGCCGTCTCTGACTCCAGCTTGCCGCCTCCGCTTCTCGTGCTAGTAAATGCTTACGATGTGACCGATATTTCTGCACACATTAATTCACAATTCTTTATCTTCGAAACATTATTCAGTAAATGAAATTATATATATGTTTACACTATAAATCTATAATCTCTGACTTTAGAAGATGTTTGTAATTGTACGTAATATCTAGTAGCTTCAAGAGAGGGTCTACTCTCTCCTTTACAAATCTGACATCAGATTAAAAAAATTTCTTTTCCTTTGACAGTATGATGATTTTATTTTGTTATTTTTTTAATTTACTTCGGATAATACATCATCCAAGTGAACCCGTTTGCTTCCGGAAAGCAAAATTCAGACGCTAATAAAGCTCTGCCTTTGTAGGAAAAGCCTTTAATGATGAAGTTGATGGGAAAAAAAATTGAGGGGGAGAAAAGGAAGGAGAAATAGGTTTCATTTTATTTACAAAAGAAATTTAATGGAGAAGTTAAGAGATTGTACTTGAAGATGGCTAGCAATATTATGGCGAGTGAGACAATCGATTCCCATCAGCTCTAGAATCCTCGAAGGCACTGCCTTATCAACTCCCAGCTGCTCCACTGCTTGGACAAACCTCCTGTGCAGTTCTGGCGTCCAATCCACCTACACACAATTCAAGACAATTATTTCCCACAGAAACAAATCAATAAAACAAAAGTTTACAATTTAAATTTCATTCGTTTTCTTTCTCTTTCAACTGAGAAGTTAGATGGGACTCTTTGACAGCCATTGTTACAGGCAATTAATATTCACAAACTCCCATGAGTCTCGTGATCTACCTGCAACCCAAGAAGTTTGTGAAAGGACTCCGTTATTGAGAGAGAGATGGGTATCATTGTTCCTATTATTCTAGGGTATATGCACTAGAAAAATTTGGTAACACAGTAAAATTTAATTATTCAGTTGATGATCAAGTTAGCTCAACCCCATCTCTAATTACCTTCACTTTTCGCTTGCCTTGATTATTGTTCTTGGCTTGTGCCGATGATTTTCTTCCTTTCTCTCCATGATCTTTAGTGAAGGTTTTCAAAGGAGGCTCCTCTCTTCTACTCACAATCTCTTGATCTCCTTTACTCGACACTGAACCTGAACCTGACACCTTGTCTTCCTCCTCTCTTTTCAAATTATCCTCAACTTTTTCCACAGAAACTGATGTGTTAATCTCCGATTCCTCTCCGCCACTAATGGAAAAATCAGCGAGGAGTTCGGGGTCCATCTCCAAATCCGGCAACTCATCACCATCGTTGATGCCCATAAAAAGATCGTCGAAATCGATACTATCAAGCAAGTTCGTATCTGAGAAATCGGGAAACTCTTGTGTGTCGATAGTAAAACTCTCCATCTCTCCTTTGTTCTCATCTTTGGTTGTGTTTCTCAAAGGTGACACAGCTAACATTAATTCAAAAACTCAAAGCTGCGTATAAAGAAAATTAAAAAAAAAAAAAAATCTGAAAGTTAAATAAAAGTGCACGCTATATATATTATATCCCCACGATTAGATAAACTATATGGTGCTGTAAAGCCCTACGTGGTTTAATATTGCATGAAAAAAGAGAGGCTAAATATGGATCGAAGTTCTTGTTTCCTTTTCTGTTTGCGGTGAGATATTGGACAGAGATGCAAAGAGAGGAAGAAGCAGTGTTAATGGTTTTTGCAGTAGTATTTGTTTACTAGTTCTTTTAATGTAAGTGGAGTGTGGAGAAACTTGATCTCAACCACAATTTGTGTTGAGATCTCTGAGTGTATCTTGTTTGTTTCTACGTTTACGTTTTTGTTTTTTGTTAGGGCAGGCAAGACACACACACATATATATATATTATGTTTGTGGATGGCTAATATATATATAATGTTTGTGGATGGCTTTTTTTTGAAGATTATGAAAAATGTGAAAGGCACTTTTCAGGGTTTGTTTATTAATTTCTTTGAGGCTTTTATAAAGTGAAGGAAGGAAGGAAGGAAGAAGGAGAGGGAGAGGGAGAGAGAGAGAATCTGATTGATATGTGTTAATTTATGTATATCTATATGTTGTACAGTGTTAAAAAAAAAAGAAAGCGTTCATATGGGTGAACCAATTGATCTTTGGATTTTCTCCAATGACAGATGATTTTATATCATTCTGTTCCTGTTATGGAACCATTATTTTAAAACTATATTTATTGTTTTTGTCATTTGTTTCTTTTGAAAGTGGTGGCCCTTTCATTTATGCATCAACTTTTCACATTGTAATTACTCTTGTTTTTGGTAAAAGTAAAATAAATAAATAAAACTCAACTAATTGTCTGCTGAGTAATGCTTCACATATAAATTACAACATCAGTGTATATTTTCCATGTAATTTTGTTTTTTACGCAGTCAGTTAATTGAAAAGAAAAGAGGTTAAGGCAGATACAAGTAATTTTAGCAGCAAAAGCTCCCATACGAGGATTTCAGTATACCAGTAACGACAGACTAAAGTTAATATCTCCATTCAAATGGGACTGTAAATAAAGGTCGAATTGCAGAGACAACAAAGAGGAACTCAACTATATTTTACTTGAAGTAGACACGTGAAATTCAAATATGCCATAATGATTCAAAATATACGTCCCAAGTTCACTTCAATCCTCCAAAATTTATATGCATATTATGCGACGTTCTTTCTATTCTTCTTCCTTTGGATTCAGAACTCAAAATGTCAAGAATATAGAACTTACCTCATATAATACTATAATATCAATCCGCTAATCATTCTTCAATTCAAAATATTGAAGCTCTCCATATATTCAAAGACGATGAGAGTTTCTTAGCATAACAAGTCCCTAAACATAATTAAAAAGGATTGCAATACAGGTGGGGTCCCTTCATTAATTTGTAAATCCAACACCATACTCCCTACTTTGTCACCTCTGTTATGTTGCCTAGAGACACGTGACTTACTATCGTCTTTATCCAATAGTTTTATCTACCATCTAATTTCCCTTCTTCTTTTCAAATTTTACCGTATTTTCTACAATTTTTTCATTGTCTATTAATTAATGACTACTCTTACTCTACTTGTTCTTTAAGGTTAGTTTCATCATCTCCCTCTCAGCTTAATGTCACCGTGATTTCAATTTATTATATTTTTATCCATATAATTAATTAATTATAAATTTATAGTATAAATAAATAAATGATCATATATATTTGCTCTTCAATATTTTTAAAACATGACACTCACAGGAGTATTTATTGTGCAGAAAAATTCCCGCAAAGATAAGCATAATANGGAACCATTATTTTAAAACTATATTTATTGTTTTTGTCATTTGTTTCTTTTGAAAGTGGTGGCCCTTTCATTTATGCATCAACTTTTCACATTGTAATTACTCTTGTTTTTGGTAAAAGTAAAATAAATAAATAAAACTCAACTAATTGTCTGCTGAGTAATGCTTCACATGTAAATTACAACATCAGTGTATATTTTCCATGTAATTTTGTTTTTTACGCAGTCAGTTAATTGAAAAGTAGTGGGGAAAAAAGAGGTTATGGCAGATACAAGTAATTTTAGCAGCAAAAGCTCCCATACGAGGATTTCAGTATACCAGTAACGACAGACTAAAGTTAATATCTCCATTCAAATGAGACTGTAAATAAAGGTCGAATTGCAGAGACAACAAAGAGGAACTCAACTATATTTTACTTGAAGTAGACACGTGAAATTCAACTATGCCATAATGATTCAAAATATACGTCCCAAGTTCACTTCAATCCTCCAAAATTTATATGCATATTATGCGACGTTCTTTCTATTCTTCTTCCTTTGGATTCAGAACTCAAAATGTCAAGAATATAGAACTTACCTCATATAATACTATAATATCAATCCGCTAATCATTCTTCAATTCAAAATATTGAAGCTCTCCATATATTCAAAGACGATGAGAGTTTCTTAGCATAACAAGTCCCTAAACATAATTAAAAAGGATTGCAATACAGGTGGGGTCCCTTCATTAATTTGTAAATCCAACACCATACTCCCTACTTTGTCACCTCTGTTATGTTGCCTAGAGACACGTGACTTACTATCGTCTTTATCCAATAGTTTTATCTACCATCTAATTTCCCTTCTTCTTTTCAAATTTTACCGTATTTTCTACAATTTTTTCATTGTCTATTAATTAATGACTACTCTTACTCTACTTGTTCTTTAAGGTTAGTTTCATCATCTCCCTCTCAGCTTAATGTCACCGTGATTTCAATTTATTATATTTTTATCCATATAATTAATTAATTATAAATTTATAGTATAAATAAATAAATGATCATATATATTTGCTCTTCAATATTTTTAAAACATGTAAATAAAAACACTCACAGGAGTATTTATTGTGCAGAAAAATTCCCGCAAAGATAAGCATAATAATTGACCATCACATAACACTTATGAATTATCAATGGAATACGATGGTGTGATTAGATGATCTACTTATTAATTAATTTTGGTAAATTCTGAGCCAATAGTTTTGGTTTTGGAGTAATGGAGTGATAATAATGAATCTCTTTCACGGATTGTCCGAGATATTAAAGCCTTACTAGATAAGATTGGCTTATCTTACTTCTTCTGTTCTTCACACTTAAACCAAACTCTAACCCGTGTCAAGCGTGTTATCTTGATGAAATTCTTGGGTAACATTGAATAAAATCAAATATATTTTTTGTTTGTATTTAATTAAGAGAAGTTGTAAGAATAAGTTGGAGTTGTAATACAAGTGGTAGCAGTTGAAAGTGACAAGTAAGGAAATAATGGACCACTCCACAATCCACATGGATCATAATTCATTAAATCAAAGTTAATTTGCAGATAATTACCAATTTCAGCCTCTGAATTACATACCATTGCAATCAAATCATCTTCAACATTTCACATCCTAACACAGTCACACTCTAATTAATTCAATTAGTTTTTTTTTTTTTTTATTTTTAAATTAAATTTTAAAAATTTGTCTGATATGCAGGTTTAATATTCATGAATTAATAAATTAAACTTTTAGAAAATTCATGAAAATTGAAGATGAATAAAGGAGAACTGATTGATTACAACCTTAACAACAGGATATTCATCCAACTTCATGATTATGACTTTCAAATCTTGCTCAATTTTCAACCCTCCAGATTTCTCCTCCTTTTACAAAAAAATAAACTATTTTTACTTTTATTATACATATTATTCTAACAACTTTGTCTTTAAAATCAGCTTTCCTATTTATTATAACACACAAGGTACTATTTTACTTCAGGGCTTTAAGGATTAGTTGAAGTACGCACAAGTTGATTCGGATACCCTCGATCATAAAAAAAAAAAAAAAAAAAAAATTATTTTACCAGTTATGAAAATAGTGTTACATGTTAGTATAACACCAACATCTCATTTTAACACTATTATGGGAAAAAATAATAGCTACAACAAAGAGCGTGGTGTTTGAGAGAAGGTTTCATGTATAATTGGGCCGTATCATGTGGATTTTAAGGGACCAGAACATATCAGCAAATTGATACATTTGTTAGTACCCCTAAAAAGGACATACATGTCTTTGTATATAGACAATGTTACTTTTAATTTGTGGGTCCTTAGTTCTTTCAATTATTGTGGTTGATTATGCTGTAGCCTCGGCCTGTAAAAAAAAAAATGGAATCTGACTTTCTCTATCAGTGCGTCATTTTCCCATCCTGGTCCCTCTGTCCACACCCCTATACATTCCAAAACCTTACCTCTCTAGGCTCTACCTGACCCACCTTCAATAATTCACTTCTTTTTCGTTTATCCATTCTCTGCATTTAATATTTTATCTTTAGCACAATAATTTACAATTAATACAGTTTTATATGTATTTGAATAATTGAATCCCATCGTCTTCATGTTTTCCAGTAACATATAATAACACCATTTCTAGAAGAGCCTCTCGTTATGGTTGTATTTCAGTAACTAACATGTACACCATTTTCAATAAGATCAGTGTAATGCTATAGGTTGATAAAGCTTGTCTTTGATACGGGAAATGATATTTTAAGACAGAAGCGACGCGGCAACTGATATTTGTGGAGAAGGCCTATTTGTCTTTCATGCAAATATTTCATAAGGGATCTTGTGGCTACCATTTCTTTGTTTGAGCATGGGAATAAATGGCAATACATTATGTATTTTATATATATATAATGCATGTCTCTCTTTCAACTATATATATGCACCGATTCCCTCTTCGTCTTCTTCATATTCATTTATTATTTAATATGAAGTTCTCTACTGGAAGGTTGTAATTGAGTCATCCTGGTTTTCGAATTCGATTTTTAAACAGAAAACATCAACTACAGGTTATGCGTAAATCGCTTTCAAAGTCCACAGATTGGGTTAGCAGAACCGATTCAGTTTTGCCGTTTTCGAGTCTATATCAATTCTGATATTAGTCGGGCCTAAATAGGAAGTGGGACTGGAGAATACTCACTGGTCTTTTAGAGGGCTGTGATTCATATAGTCCACACACAAAACAAAAATAAAAAAAAGGCCACTGTTAACCTTTAATTACAGTTTCTAAGTTTAATTAGGTAACTTGAGATTTGAATCCAAAATGAAAAACGTGTTTAAATTTGTAAATGTATCTACTCGAATAAAATATATATTACAAATGTGATATAGAGTATTATGGTACAGAAACACATGATTAATTGATTATCAAAGCAGTATTTTGGTTCAATCAAAGTCATATCCTGTTTACATTTTTATTATTTGAATACTTTAGTTATGTATAGTATGTTGGTTCTTATAAATACATTTAG